TTTAATAACACGAACCTTTACAAAATGGAAACACAGTTGATTCTTACGCTAATTCCCGACATGCGTGATATGTTTGTACTTTTTTTTTTCTTTTTTTTCCTTTTTTTTTTTTTTTTTTTTTTTTTAAAAAGCAAACCGAGGGACAAAGTAAACGAGTAACATGTGGTTTCTCACGTACCGTTAAACAAAATTTTTCGCACGCGCGAAATAGAGGAAAACAATTTTAAAATTTTACTTAGTAAAAAAATAGATTTTTGTGTATAATATCTTCTTGCGTTTGGAACAGAAAAATACGTTTAAAAATATTTTACTGTTCACGTGCAAATTCAGTTTTTTTTCGCGAATGCATTTTTTCAATATATCTATTATTAATGAAACTAATAAAAGACTGAACAATGAAATATACGAATCACGTTGTTGTCTCTTATTTACAATTGTTTTTTATGTTAGCTGCAACTGACTGCGATATTACTACAGTATTTTATATGTTAATCGACGAGGATTGCTCAAGGTTTGAATTGTTACATAATTTTGTTTCACAACGAGTTGTTACATAATTTTGCATCAGACGTGCATCAGAATCACGCGTTTGCCTGGTGTGTTTTGATATATTAAATTAAATTATCCATGTATTATGCATCAGTTCTAAAAGCGAAATAGCGGAGAGAGAACCAGAACGGCGCAGCCCGAGGCCGGGCTCTTAAGCACAACAATCATTGTTATTACAGATACGCCTTACCTAATGACATGAAAAGCCCTTTGAGACGAGGGATAATATGTTAATCCCGAATAGTAAGTTGTAAGTCAACGTATTCATATACAGAGAGGCCTGAGAACGTCCGAGTAATTCTCTAGTGATGCGTTCTCAGACGCATATAGAACTGATGTTCAATGTTTGCGAAAGCGAATTACAGCATTTCGTTCATGTATTAAAAATCCGAGAGGAAGGAAAAAGATAAAATAATCCCGATAACTCGAAAAAACGTCTCTGAATGCTGACAAAAGTCACGAATTGTAGATCTTTAGATCTCTTTAACTCTAAGACAGGAGATATGTTTTATTTCACGAAAGTATTCTGTTTTCGAGTAACCTTACAACAGAAAATATGTACTCTCGAGAAACTGATCGGTCAGAAATCGATCAAAACCAGATTGCGTAGCAATTGGTTAGTGATTAGGAATACTGGCCGGAATACTAACAAATTAATTTCTATTAAAAGATATAAAGCAAGTCGAAAGATAAAAATTTGAAGGCGATAGAATAAAGTACGAAAAAGAACACGAACGTGCCACAGACAATAATATTTAAAGAAACCGGTTTTACACGAACCTTATTATACAGACTTTGAACGTCTCGAACTTTCTCGTTCAACAATTTGTCAGGGCAAGAAATGCATTCAGTAACAGTTGCACCGCCGTGATTTTCAGTGCTCTTTTTTATTTCGTGCTTATATAAAGTTGCTTTACGCTCGTTGCATCTTGATTAATTAGATTGCTTTTTTCTAAAAAAGCAATTTTCGTACTAAACTAAGAAAAAGATACCACATAATATCAACTAAACATATATTTAGTTTGCAATCAATTGTTACTTGAAATACTTGCTTTTTTATTTCAAGAGTTAAAATAACAGATGTTTTTTTAGATTAACGAATATTTGTGTGTGTGTGTGTGTGTGTGGTAACCTTTTACTAGCCAACAATCATCATTCAGTTAAATCAAATCCGGTTCCCGTCTAACAACTTTCTATCCACGCAAATAGTAAGTTAAATAAAGCTGTCCTTGGTATATTAACTTTTTTTCTCAATGTTAGTGTCGTGTACGTACATGTCTTACATCGAAAGCTATTACGTAAACAGAAGAACGCTCTGGAGTAAGAAGTCAAGTCAACTTAGTTTTTCTTCAGTCGTAAAGACGAGACAAAGTGTGTCGATCGAACTAAAGTGCATATTAAATACAACAATATCGTGATCGCATAAAATGCGGCTCTTCAGTAAAGTGTGTACAAGTAAAGCTCGTCTCGATGGAAAAACTGTGATAATAACTGGAGCGAACACCGGTATCGGCAAGGAGACTGCTAGAGACTTATACGCGAGAGGTAATTAATTAATTCTAGAAGAGAAAAATAACAATATAAGAAATTACAGCGCACGCACTGAAGTTAAATCTGTTATTTTTACATAATAAAAAAGAAATGAAGAAAATATACATATATGTATATACATATATATATATACTATATATTTCTGCATAACATTTTGCAAAAGCGACTCGTATGACTTTATTCTGTAATTTTCTTATTAAAAAAGAAATGTTAAGTTTAACATTTTTTGCATGTCCCAGGAGGTCCACTCTAAATTTTACGTTAAAATAACTCATTCGTTCGAAGAAACGAATGAGTAATTCACTCGTAAGAAATGTTAATAAAAGATTTTAGTTTGTACAATGTGGCCAAAGATTTTTAAAATTTTTTTAGTATGTTAAATTAACTTCGAGACATCTCTAGATTAATTGAAATCATTGTGTTAAATAGAATATTGTTTAAGTGCTTTTAACACAATGATTTCAATCTAGATGTGTCAAAGTCAATTTAACATACTAAAAACATTTTTTTAATCTTTGGCCACATTGTACAAACTAAAATGTTTTATTAACATTTCTTATTTTTAATTATTTTATATGTTATTTTTACATCACGCTTACAGTCAAAATAACAAGTATAAATGTAAAGTATTGCGTCAAGTATTTGATTTTACTAGTTTGTCAATAAGTGACTCACAACGAATGAGTTATTTTAACGTAAAATTTATAGTGGACCTCCCGAGACATGCAAAAAATGTTAAAATTACCATTTTTTTGTTTACTGTGTAACAGGCGCCAGAGTGATTCTGGCCTGTAGAAATGTGAAAAAAGCGAACGATGCTATTCAAGATATAAAGAACAGGCCACCTTCAAAGTAAGCACGTTGCATAAGAATCACTTAAAATACCGCTTGTTAATCTCAACTAAAAAAATTGCAATTTCATTTACAAGTTTAATTCTCTCAGAGAAAACGAGTCTGTTGATTTGTTTACATGCGTCTACAAAAGTGACACGATTAATAAAAAATATAAAAACAATTTTCAGCATTAATAACAAGAAGTATCAAGATAAAGTCGGAGAGCTCGCGATCTATTGTCTGGATCTCTCGAAATTACAGAGCGTGAGAGATTGCGCCAAGAATTTGATACTAAACGAAGCGGCAATTCACATACTTATAAACAATGCTGCCGTAGCTACGATTCCGTACGAGAAAACGGAGAACGGGTTTGAAATGACATTTCAGGTCAATTATCTCGCCCACTTTCTTCTGACGCTCCTGTTGCTGCCGAAAATGATCGCGTCCTCGCCAGGTTGCAGGATAGTCAACGTTTCGTCGATCATACACGGATGTGAGTAAAACATTGACGTAAAACACGTATTATATGCCGCGTCCGGCGTCACTAAAGAAAGTTAACTGCAGAAAAGAATAATAGAAAAATGTGGATCTGTTACAGTTTTCGATATTAATTTCGACGACATCTATACGGGCAGAAATTACAGAGCGATGAAAGCTTACAGTCAGAGCAAACTTGCGAGTGTTTTATTCACCAAGGAACTTGCACGTCGTTTGAAAGGTACAAATTAGAAAAGAAAGAAAAACTTTTCGCGAAATGATTTGCAATATATATATAAAAACATCAAACAAAACGTTTCATTTTTACGCCATTTTTATATTTATTGTTTTATACTTTTTCTGATAATTTTGCACAATTTTTGTAATTGATTATAAATAGCTTGTCTTACAGCGACTCTTGTTTTTTTTTATTTTTTTTGTTTTATTTCATTTTAGAGGCAGATATTCACGGGATAAATGTGTATTCGTTACATCCTGGCATCATAGCAACGGAACTATCAAAAAGCAGCAGTCGCACGATAATGCCGGGCGCGTCAGTCTTGTATAATTTCTTCGCGAGATTATTATTTCAGAACAAGGAGGAAGGAGCGCAAACGACAATATATTGCTCGGTGGATGAAAACGTGGGAAATGAGACGGGACTTTATTACTCGTAAGAACATACGTGTACAAAGAGACTTGCGCATGCATATGCATGTAGTATGTATGTATAAATTTATCTTTTTGTTTGTAGAAGATGCAAAATCGCCACTATGCGCGGGAAAGCAAGAGATGATCAATATGCTAGAAATTTATGGGACTTATCGTGTCGTCTTTTGCATTTATCGCAAGAAAATGATTTTGTTGCGTTCTTGAACGCAATCCCGCTCGTTCAATCGGAAGAAGAGAAAGACCGATATCCTTTGGAGGAACAGGATATACAAACTTATATGTAATCGATTATTTTGAATTTTTAAAATCCAGTTGAAGATTTTGTAAGTTCGACTGTAAAACATTTGGATTTTGATATTATATTTGATATTATATTATATTTTGTAAAAGAAAAAATATATAAATTTAAATTATCTCAGGCATCAAGAATGTTACAAGACAATTTAAATAAAATTGAAGATTGGATGTATAAATGGCATATTAAGACCAGCGAAACTAAGTCCTCACATAAACGTTTACTATTAAAAGAGAAACGTGTCCACCAGTGATTTTACACGGCACACAGTTATCCCAATGCGAAGATGTCAGATACCTGGGACTGCGCTTCGACAGGCGTCTAACTTGGAAGAAACATATTTTCAATAAGCGAAAGCAATTAGGTATTCTCTTTAGCAGAATGTACTGGATGATCGGACGTAAATCTCAGATGTCTCTAGACAATAAAATACTCTTGTACAAGAGTATAATCAAACCAATCTGGCTCTACGGCATACAAATATGAGGCATTGTATCCAAATCAAATATTGAAATAATACAACGTTTCCAGTCGAAGATCTTACCATGGCTAACGCGCCCTGTTATGTGACATGAATCATTACACAAGGACCTTGGCATACCTTCAGTCGAGGAGATCAGGAGAGCGATACTGAAGCATAAATCGAGATTGCAAAATCACCCGAACTACCTGGCAACATCTTTGATGAACAAATCGGACTTCTCACGTAGACTGAAACGCAAACTACAGCAAGATTTAATCTTGTGAAATTCTGAAGATAGGACGAGCCTCTGGGCTTGTACCATGTAATTAGGTCACAAAATTACTGAATGTCCTTGAATGCGACAGATTGTAATAACTGTAGGTGTTAAAAAAAAATAAATTATTATTATTATTATCTCATTTATTGCTCTTTCGGCAGTGGTTATGTTAAAATATCGAAATGTTTTCTCGGTGTGTCCTTTTTGTATTGTCTTTCGTTGCGTTAAAAAGTTAATTTCACACGTTATACGTATACAGTTCCGTTGAGGTACCTGCGACCTCTCGATTACTCGACACGAAAATTATGTATCACCGTGTATATTAACGCTCGGGGATAATCGGTTGGACGCGACATGAGAGAGCCGTGCGTTTCAAACGACGGGAACTAATAACACAACTCCACGGAATTTCGGGCCATACACAGTCTCTTTCCCATCCCGTGGGAACTTCCTATTGCAAACCCGTCGTTAATAATTCATGTAACCGACGTAGTCCAAACTGCGCGGATCTTTGAGTGTAAACGATACCTTTCAGCGATGATCAGGTCGTCGCAACGATACGACGAGATGCGACCAAAACTCGAGACTTCGCCATCTAAAGATCACGTATTAACTTGGTTTCGAAGCATCCGTGAAACATAATTTCAAAGTTCCCGTTTATGTTTAAAGAACATTTTATTTTTCTAGCTCTACACTCGTAAAATGATCGTCGATTTTATCGGGACAGTTTTACCATTTTCGATCCGATTTTTTTACACAAAAAAATTCTGCAGTGTATAAAATTTTATATTTACACACAATTTTGTCTGCACACAATATACTCGTGCGATAATAAAGTACGCGTAGAAATGTAATAGCTCTTGTCTCCTCCACGTTTTACGTATTTGTTGTTTTTGTTTTTCTATTTTGTTTTTCTATTTTAAGTGTCACGAAATCGGAAAATTTTTTTCATTTCTTACTGTACATCCTTCTATGTTTATTGTATAAAAGTACGGTCTTTTGAAATGCACGTCTGTTCGTCGTCAAACGAGTCCGGAATTGTCGGTCGCGACACGATCGAATTACTTCGCGCGCAGCGCTTTTCGTCACATTTGAATAACAACAAACGCGGGGCGCGTGTGTCGCGTCCACTCTACATGTAGTTTTGCGAGAGCTCCAAAATTGGAGAAGACGCGGACGAGTTCGGGGAAAGGGGAAAGCGCGACCGTGTACGTGAGAATGTATCGATGCTGCCGTATACGATGACGCGCCGGCCGAAAACCGAACGCGTTAATTGAATCGTTTTGTGTGTCGTTCGCGTCGACACCGGGCGAATTTAACGGCCGATTACGCGCCACGCCACTGAACAGGAACGTAATATCTCGTGCGTGCATGGATCGAATGATCGGCGGTCGCCGCGCTCTTTCTCGTCGCGCGTGCTCGTAAATCCAATCATTTTCGTCGCGTCAAAGAAGAAACGGATCCCCGCGTGTTTGCGAGTTTAATCGATCGTTCGTGTATCACTCGTGAATTTGTTTTTTTTTTTGTCGGTCGCGAACTTCCTGAATTATTTGTCGCGTATCGGCGTGTGTCGAGTTCAATTCGTTCGCTGACCGGGAAAATCGATTTATTTCAAAAAAAAAAAAAATAACAAAGTATGTTCGTGCGACTAAAAATAAAACGATGCGTTCTTCGAGTGTCTCTGATGTAATGATTTTTTTACAGTTGATAATAGATTCGTTAAGCTACTTTTATCAACGTAAATCTTTATTTCTTATGAAATAAATTATTCGTATATAAATATATAAATTAGGTAATAAGTATGTAAGAAAAACCTAAACGATATTTAATAGGGCGTCAATCGGCAAAACATACGCGTATATTTTCATAAATATTTAAGGGAGGAGTTTGTCCGTAAAAGGATTATGTTGTTACGTATTATCAGCGGATGTCGATCACTGCATTATCACCTACCGGGAACCGTCATCCGTGTAATGATAATATACGCGGGACACCGACGTATCATGAACAGCATAAACCAAATCGCTCCTGTGTGCGATTACGCGCGCACTTGTCGCGCGCGCATGTGTGTGTGTACGTATCATCGCGGATGCATGTGTCACACGCATGGTGCTTTGGTACACTACACAAAGCGCAACGTTTAATTTGCGATGCACTGTCAATAAAGCGATATTCCGGTGTAATCAGATCGAGAGAGAGATAGGACGATCGTTAAAATTCAAGATGTTGATATCATCGAAACTTTTAGCGGTCGGTGAAACGTGTTACGTCAAACAGTATTTAATCTCGCGTCATCGCAATTAATTCCGTTTCATTTTTCGCACCAATGAAACTCTTCATATCGAATATATAAAAAAACGCACATTTGTATAAAATATGTGCATAACGACGTTAATCAACGAGGCAATACTTTCAACGATTTCATCGATTATTCGCGATCTATACATAGCAGCGCGCGGATAATCGCGGATTCATTTCGAAATAGCTTTCAGAAGAAGCTTAAAAAAAAAAAAAAAAAAACCCGATTTAAACTTCTATTTCGGAGTTTTTTCTCCTCACAGAGGATCCTCCTCGCGCTTTTTAAGGCTCATCCAGATTGCGAAAAACGGCTATACATCACGGCGGCGAGAGTGTGTGTGTGTGTGTGTGTTTGTGTATGTATATATCGAAAATTGCAACAAACCGCACAAAATACCGCACTGCTTAAATAAATCGCTTCTCCTCTCGGCCGCAATCTATCAGTGCGCGTCAGCCGTCGCGCCTTCGCGCGCTGGATAATTTATTGCGGTGTGTATCGGGCCACACCGGCGGCAACAATATAACCGATCTGATGCGCGGCAGAATGCAGTGGCCGAAGCGCCAATAAATATGGATGGAGTAGTAATAAATTATGGCTGGAAAAGACGATTAGGACGCGGCTATAAATTACACGACGCGCGGATACGTATCGCGAGCGCGCGCGCGCGTTCTCGCCCTCCCCCCGTATATGCGCGACACCCGTGCCTTATGGCCGCCCATATGTCCGATAATATGGATATTTTTCGGCCTTTAATCCGTTTACCCGCGAATATTCATAGCCCGGCTATCATTCCTCTCTTCCCTCTCCCCTTTCCCCGTGTCGTTTTTAGCTCGTTCGTTCAGATTACGATACCGATCGCGTTCCCGCGCGATATTTGTCGCCACCGGGGCGCTTTAGTAATATAGCGCACGTATATATTCTCTTCCTATTGATTCATATGGACACTTTATGGGTATTTTTGTAACGTACCGGAGAATTGGAAATAGTTGGGACCTTTAATTGAGTTATTTTGAGCGAGATATCGAAATAGTGTAAAAACATTCCACAGAGATCTATGATTGAGTTAAATTAAACCGGATAAGACCGTATAAAACCGACTTTTATAAATATAATATACGTAAAATAAAACTTAAAAAAAAATACAAGGAAGAGAACGCAAGTTTTGCGGCAATTTTTGTGCAAATATTTGTAAATAAATTATTCAATTAATAATTTTGTTACCGCTAACAAGCACAACAATGCACGTTTTGCTGGTAAACAAAATAAAAAAAAAAAAAAAAAAAAAAACGGATGTGTGACTGAATCGCGAGTGAGAAAAAAAAAATCCTTCGAGCCGGATTCGAACCAGCGACCTATGGATGTCCGTATCAAAGCCATCTACTACAGTCCACCGCTCTACCAACTGAGCTATCGAAGGCTTCGCGAATGATGCGTGATTTAACCTTGGAAAGAATCGTGCTTGTTTCAAATCCACCTACGATTCCTACGTTTTTTTTTTTTTACGCATGTGCGTGCGCACACGTATGTGTATTATGTAAAGCAATCTGAGAATGTGACATATCATCGGACACACATGTATCCACGTATCGATTTGTTACCGAGTTATTCTCGCAAAGTAATCGGACACGACGTGTTTGAAAAAAAAACACGTGTTGTATCAAACGTGCGTATCTTTTTTTGTTTTATCACACACACACGCGGATGGTCCACTAGTCAACGCGCGCACCGACGTAAATATCAGTTCCGCTCCGAGTGCGGATTGCACAATTTGTTCAAAGTCTTCGCGAAGATAAAAAAAACTTGCAAATACAACGCGAATTTATATATTTCGCTCGGAGAAATATAATCTATTGATACATTTTTTAAACGAGAGAAATTTGTTTGTACATGAATTTGTTTATATATTAATTTGTATATTAGATTTATTTTGCGAGATACACGTGAGATCATGTCACAGCACGTAACACGTACACATATATACACACACACACACATGCATAGTAGACGCGGTATCGCAGGTAAAGTTAGGTAATAAATAACAAAACGTTCAGTCGATCGCATTTGCGAATGCAAACCATGCAAACATCACGTGACGATCGTGTCACCGCGAATCGCCTCGAAATTGCGAATTGTTTCGCAGCGTTGTCGAGAAACTTGTCGCGAGACGATAAATTATTGCGTTTGTTAATATAATCGAGCCAGTGACATACAAAAAAATTGACTCACCGAAGACGTTCGCTCAATGTCAACCGTCGTGTTCCCGTCGTATCACTCGTCGCCGAAGACAGAACAATCCTCTGGAATCGGCAGTGTCAACTTGCGTTTCCCTCGTCGAACATTTGCGTGTTACTCGTCGCACTGTCTCGTTCACGCATATCACATGAAAAACTCCGCGGATGTGTAATCGCACAATAAACTTCCGATTGCAGCAAGATGGCGGCGGACCGCGACAAAATCACGTAGCCGCGGCGCAAGTCTCGTAGTTCGTGAAAGGTACTCGCGGCGACATCTAGCGGAGAGCGCCGGAATCTCGAAGTCACACGCAAGTCCGAACGCGCAAGTTCAAAGTGTGAAAACATCTCGCGATATAAAATTTGATAGTCTATGCGAAATTCGATTTCACGAAATAAGCAACTTCACACGAAAGCGCATATCACCGCATATACACAAAATGGCGGTGTTGTTCGCGACACACTGAACAATTCGATATTTTCGCAGAGATGCTCGCGACAACTCGTTGCGCATGCGAATTCGTTCTCAATTTATCAACGATGACTCTTCGAAAGTAACAATATGAGAAAAGTTCGGTTGAACTTTTTTTTGTTGATTCCGAACCTTTCGCTCTTACGTGAATCTCATTATTGACATCGAAAGATCGCAAAATTGATAAACGATTGTGGCGGAACACTCACCGTGAACTTGTTTTCGAGACTCGATGGTCGAATTGCGGCCGAAATTTCGAACAAAATTTTTCTCGCGTTGCGCGTCGGCCATTTTGTTTCGCGGGAGCGCAAACGGGCCGCGATACAATTTCACACCGTGAAATTGCCGATTGGCGGCTAGTGCGCGAAATTCTTTTTTGCGCATCGCCTCGAACACTCCGAAGATACTTTGCGACACAATCGCGGAATAATTGCACTGCGAGCCGATAATAATAATCGCGAGAAATGCGAAACAATTCGTATGCAGCTCCGTTCCGCGTCGCGCGCTAACTGTGACTGCCCGCCAATCCGTGCGTATCGAAGATACGCGTAGTCGAGAATTGCAATATCGACGCGCGCAGCGGAATCGATCGAGGTGAAATTGCGATTCTCGAACTCTCGTCGACGTCATTAACCTGAAGAACAAATTGCGATTCTCGAAATATCAAATCACACTCGTCAGGTCGTTTTTCTCGCGATCTTTCAACGATCTGCAAGTGTGCGTTACTTCATTATCTTATCGCGAAATAACGTAAGTTAACAAATATTTGGTTTTTTATCAAAAACTAGCACAACACAGGCGCGCGCTACGCGCACGTTATTGTTATTTTTATTTAACGTGTTGTCGGTGAACACAACCTGTCAACGCGATGACAGGTAGTATATACGTACGTCTTAAAAACCATATAATACACGTTAGAGAGAGGTGTCAAAAATAACGCGTGAAAATCAAAATCAAAAAATAAAAGAAAAAGAGAAGAGTAGAAAAATACCACGTGACTGTATTTAAAAATGTTACTAAATTAAAATCACGTGAAAGGAAAAATGCGACAACTTGCCCTTCGTCCCGAAGACGTTACTCGCGAGTTGTGTGTTCAGTTTTCTAAACTCTCGATGTGCCACAAGAGTCATCGAATGCAAAAAGCAGAACTAAAATGGCCATTAATATTTCTTAGAAGTATTTAACATAAATAAACATTTATCTTACGTTTTTTTGCGTTTAGTATTTGAGTGATTTAAAAACTATTGTTCGTAATCAGTATTTGTATAATCTGACCTTTATGTATTAAAAACTCTCTCTTTTTGTCTCTCTCAAGTTCGTCTTCAGATGTTTTTAATGTCAATTAATAAAACAAAACTTTTATATATTAAGATAAAATATAAAATTTTTGAATATCGGTTACTGTAATGTCAGATGATTAGCATAACTCATATGCAAATTCAAAATAGAGAGATGTTATTTCAGATTCTGATGTAAAGTTTACTGAAACAACAGACATTTCCGTCGCACACATTTCTCCTGTTACAATAGAGATTATTAATTATTTCTATACATAATGTGATAATGTCAATAATTCAAAGTTTTGTTATAAAGTCACGTCATTTTATTCATTTGTGTTTTTATCAACTGTTTATTGCACCAAATCGAAGATTTACAATCATCAGATAAAACCACAAAATATATTTCTCATCAAATAGTGAGAAGCTTGTGAACAAAAGAGCTTGATCAAACAGAAAAAGACAGCATCTGAAACTGATTTAATGAAGAAGACTACAGAGAAATATTCAAGATGGAATTCAATCTTGAATTCAAGCGTGCACAAACTAAGGAAAAGAAATTACCATCAGACACCAGCTGAAACGAAAAAAAAACAACATGCGAGAAACATTCATTTATTCGTAAGATAAAATTTGGTACAAATAATTAGTACAAGTTATATTTTGATTCAAATTTACTTACACAGTAATATTTGCTTTGTTAATATTTTTATATAAATCAGAATTCGCAGATATGTTGACATGTTTGTGATTTTGTTAAATTTAACTAAAAACATATAAATAACTTGTACAAGTCGTACTAATATAATTTTTAGTTACATTTTTGTTTTAAATCAGCGTTCCTATTTTCCAATTTATTTAAATAGAGATATGTTGATAAAATTTTACAAGAATAAAATGGCATGTGATATTTTATATGTACATATTTAATGTGATTATGTAATATTATTATTTAGTTACGAAACTAAATTGTTTGGATCAAAAGATAGAAAACATTGATTATACGTTTAAATTCGTTATCATAAGATTTAATATCAGATCTACATGTAGATATCTTTCAGTTTTACGTGTTTCGCATTGAGAGTGCTTCCGAGAAAAAAATCTATAACAAATTTCCGAGAAAAAAAAAAATATAACAAATTCTGTATCTGTATAATTATGATATATGAGATCATCTCCATCTTATATAACTATATATACGATCACACATCATTTATTATTTATAACCAGATATTTTTGACAACCTAGTTACAAATAATAGTTGTTATCTGCCAGATTTATTATCTGTAGTTGCGATATATTTTTCCAAGTTGATTCAAATCGAGTACTAAAATTTTGTCTGATGCGTAAAATATACATAGTTTCTATTCACACTAGAGATTTTAGAGAGACAGTTACAGCACTTTTATACAATTTTGTAGCATTTAACACGTTGACCACCGCCGTGGAAGCCGATTTATAAATTTGTGTTTTATGTCCTAATTTTAATAAATCTGGGTTTTTTAAAATAGAGCAACACAATTTCTTGCGTGAGATGATTTCAAATTATTATATAAAATTGTTTTGTCGAAATTGATTTCTTAGCCGAAAATTTCCGTCTTTTTGTAGTTTTTACAATAAAAACAACAACGTGGAATTATTTTGTCAGAATTTTCGAAAAATTTGTACAATTAACAACTACTTAAAAGTTTGATATAGATTCAACTATTACAAAACATAGATTTTCTTCTCAGTCTATTGACAACTTTTCTGTAACAGTCAACGTGATACTGTTTGATGTTGATAGCATTATAAAATGTAAAATTCTATGATTTACGTTTTATGATGTAAATCTCACTATTCTGCACTATCTTTTTTGCTAAAAGTCGTCAACGTTTGTCAAAATTCTAACTTGCTTTTATTTTCGAACTGACTTCTCTGCATCGAAGCGTTGCTGCTTCTACAGCGCCAATTAGAGCCGATCTTAGTCCATGTTTTTCTAAATGATGAATAGCAGTTATAGTGGATCCTGTAAAACAAAACAAAAAAAAGAAAAACGTATGAAAAAAAAAAACCATGTCTGTGTATCGAGAAAAAAGTCGTATACATGTGTAAATTCCGACCTGCAGGCGATGATACGTCATCCTTAAGTTGACCTGGATGAATGTTTGTTTCACGAACCATAGTACCCGCGCCTAAGACAGTTTGTGCAGCGAGTTTATACGCGATCGGTCTAGCTAGTCCCATTTTGACTCCACCATCGGCCAGTGCCTCGATTATCATGTACACCTGAAAGAAACAAATATCACTCTCGTTTTAAATCTTTAAATCATCAACTTAAATAAAACTTCGAAAAAGCAGAAGTTTTTATTTAATTTTTTGTTTAATTCAACAACATCTTCTGTTTATATTATAAAAAATTACTGTTTAATAACTTGTTTCTTCTTATTTGTAAGGAAACGCTATTCAAGATAGTGTATAACGTATTAGCAATCTTCACTCACGTAAGCAGGACCGGAGCCAGCCAAGGCTGTGACGGGATCAATAAGATTTTCCGAAATTTCCTCGCAAATGCCAACGGAAGAGAACAATTTTTCCGTGATCTCAGCTTCTTTGTCAGTTGCGTACTTTCCACGCGCGAACACCGTGGCACCGCAACGTACCAGTGCGGGCGTGTTCGGCATCACTCTGATTACAGGTGTTCCCTCCGGCAGCGCCTGGAAAATATTGTTACTTAAGACGGTGTGTTTTCTTCTTTTTTTTCTTCTTTGTCGTAAACAATTTACGCACTTAATTGTGATTTTAACACATTCTTGCGTTGAATGATATGCAGATAGCGTTACCGTTTCTATTGACTCCAAGGAGATGCCCATTGCGATGGAAATGAGTAATTTTTTATTGATACGTGTCCTCACTTCCGGCAGAATTTTTGGCACAACTTGCGGCTTCACCGACAGAATCAGCACATCACTGTGATCGACGACGGGAATATTGGCAAAAACGGTATTTGATTCCATTTCCTAGAAATATAAAGTAGATAGTAGTATGCGATTTTTTGGCGTGATAACGAAAGTATCATATCTCTTTAAAAGCTGCAGATATCGTTATCGTTTCCGTTAAATATATATATATACGTATCGCGATTAAATATGTGAATTTTATTTTAACAGTAACGGTATCGATCCTGCATGTGCTATCACGATACTCTTTTTTTTTTTTCACGACAAGGACAGGCAGAAGAAAAATTGCTTTTACAACCGGCTTGTGAGATGCAGACCGTGCGTACGTTAGACGATTGATAAGATTGATCCAAAACAACGCGTCGGTAGCGACAGTTCAAAAACTGTTTGAACAACAATGAAGTCATCGATGTTCGAAAATGACTAACTCTGGGGGCGAGATGTCACGCTAAACACTACGTGTAATAATGAGTAAGCGTTTGTTTTTTTTTTCTGCGATTTATATATTATAATATTATAATATGTTGCTTTCTGTTTTGAGATATCAATCGCTCCTCGAACGTCAGTGAGTTATTTCCTCACAAAAACAAGTCATTTTCGATTTTTTTCTTGTGACGTTTCGACTTCTAATTGGCTCGCTTGTAAAGAAAACAAATGTTATAATTTGCAATTCTCGTGCGATACGTTAGTTGGAACATATTTTAGAATTATGTACGCACAAGCAATTTACTCGTTAATGCGTTTAAAAATAATTCGAGCAACTTAACGAGAAACTTAATTAGGCATACCAATCACGCGTAAAACATGAATCGTTTGAAAAATTTACGATCATCGATAACATTCATTTGCGTGAAGTGTCACTCTCGCGGATTACGATTTTCTTATCGTGCTAAATATCACTAAACACAAGAAACTTGAAAAACAAGAAATAAAACTACTTTAACGACTTCTATATACAAATATTTTTTTTGTAATTCTCGCGCGCTATTCACAGTAGGGCTCCGGTGATTTCAAGCATCACAATTTCGACTTCTCCTTTATGGACATACAGATTTCTCGCTATTCTTGAGTGACTGGGCAACTATCCCAGAATGTGCGTCTGTCTTCGCTCTAAGAATCTAAGAGAAAGAGAAACGCATATATTTCGTTTCTTCCTACCGGTTGCTAACGGAAAGAGAGGAAAATTCTACGAAAAATCGGCGCTCGAAATTACTGGAGTTCTATACTCGCGTCAAATTTCAATAACTAAAATTTTTTAATCTAATTAAAATATTTCAAACATTTTCTATCCATTACGTTAAAGTCGATGTGGATTAACTTAAAGTTTGTCGATTTAAAAATTTTGCAAGACATCGAACGATATGTGCAGCGCGTGCTTTATCGCCTTTAGATTTTTCTTATCGAATAATATATGACGAATAAAAGAAACGCTGATCGACCTTTGTTCGTTACTCATACTGTCATCTCTCACCTTAAACGCTTGAATACTTCCAATGTCAGTTGGTAAACAACTAGCTAATATCTTCTCGCCCTTGCTCAAACCTGAGAACAAAACACTAAATATGTAACAAAATGTCAAAGACATTGAGTTTTTGTTATTCAACGTAAACAATCATTACATTTTATTGGTTAATATAGATCAACCGGTTGACCTTAAAGTACTAGTTTAAAAAAATGAATAAAACATGAGCGTGAAAAAAAACCACTCACCCGCACGTATGAAGCCTTGGGCGAGCGCCTGGGCCATTTTTCCACCACCGAGAAAGCCAATTTTCAACATGTTTGTGTCGATGTTGAACGGTACCTTTTCTTTCTTCACCTCGCCGTCCGCTAGAAGATGATTGCTCACTAACAGGCATAAAGAATCGAAAACTATTATTGAGGTCGTTTTGCAACATAAGTAGTAAAAACAAGCAGCGATAATAGAAGAACTTTGAGACGAGAATGCAATCACGCGCGAAACGATCTTATAAAAGAACACACACTCGGATGCTGTCACTTTATTCCGTCGTATAAACGACTTTGCCCGAAGTCAACTCTATTTCTCGCCACTACAATAATCTAGTTGCAGTGACGTATTTACAGCTTTACAAAATGGAGATACGAACGCCGATAAGACGGCAAACTCAGAAATTTTTGCGCGTTCGAACTCGATCTCGACAACATTCACATCTTGCGGTCCGTTCTGTTTCTCTCGTGCGACATCTCGTCTTGTTTCTTGCGAACGCGTTTGAATGTTTCCGTGTATTTTTATGGATGTAATCTCTCATGCGAGATAACAGCAGCCTTTCACACAACGTACGTCATATAATACTTCAGAAACGCGCAATCAACCGCATCGTCGTCGTCGTCGTCGTCTTCTTCTTCTGTAAATTCGTTTTTGTCACGCGTTCGTGATTGATTTGCGGTACTAGGTCGGAACGAAACGCGTATGTAATTCTCGTCCGTTCTGGCGTAATCACAAGCATGGAATCAGCTTCTTTTGCAGCGACATCTCATATGTATATATTTCTCTGAGCAGATATAACACTATGACTGTTTGCGGTCTTGTCTCTATTGTCAGCCAAACAAAATCAAAATAAAATAAATAGAAAAAAGAAACATTTTCGAAATCATAACGTAACGTAAAAATTTACGTTACATTTTAGCAAATTTAAATTCAATCGACGTCTCTTGTTTCTCATTTATTTTTGTATTCTCTCATTCAATTGTTCGACAATATTATGTAATATTTATTTATTTTTTTTTTTTTTTTTTTAGATCGTCATTGTCGTACAATTTTTTTCTTTACTTCAAGCGTCAGCAAAACCCATCGTGTGTGACGATAAAAAATATTGTGCGGTCGAAAAACTTTACTCATAAATTTACAGTTGACATTAACAAAGGTCGTTATTACTTACCGTATTTGCGCACGTTCAAACTTCGCCGAACGCGGCGATTTGATTTTACAAGTCCCATTGTTCTCAAACTAACAGTCATTATCATAAATTTGACTTTTTCAATGAATAAATGAATAAAATTGCACAAGTTAGTGCATAAATAAAAGATGATGTATTACTTCCAATCTTGATTTCTTGTTGTAATGTCAACAAATATACAGATTCTGAAAAGAAATATCTGACATGTAACACAAGTATACAGTGACATATAAATAACACGTGTGTGTAATTTAAATGAATAACGTATGCGCAAAATATTCTCGTGCAATTTGTATGCAGGTTTTTGTGTGTAAACGTTTTACGATAGTTTTTTACTACGTTAAAACTCTTTAATAAATTATTTTGTTGAACATGTGTACGCGTAACGGAATTTAAATTTTCCGCACGCCTACTGTGAAAGCGACTGAAGTTCTCAGTCGAATCTCTCTAATGACCGCCTTTGAAGCACTTAATACGGTACTTGGTATAAAACTAACGGAAAACTAGCGTTGGAAAACATGAAACTGAAATACTTACGTCTGTGCTTATAAATCGAACAAAATATAAACCCGAGACACACATGTGCGACGGGATGTGATGCTGTCGATGATAGATTGACCAGTCGCGATCAAACGTTGACTCGTCAAATTGATCGCAAATTAGTGCACGTGCGGCGATGTGTCTCTCTGTCAAATAATTTTTCCACTTCGTGAAGATAAATTTCGGACGTCTTATATATATCTTAACAAATTTCATATCTCTTATGGAAAACTACTTATCTTGTCCATTCGATCGATCTTCGTACAAACAGATTTCTCCTTCTCCCTATCAAGATAATGGCGTAATTAGCAAGCGTGACTAATACGGCGAAATTTTTCGAAACAATTTTACATGTGTGTAAGATGAAATATTGTGATAATTAGTCTATACTTAAGTATTTTTTTTATATCGTACGGTATATTATAAATTTTAGATAAAACTTTTGCCACGTATATTCAAATTTGTATAAACAGTTGTGTTTTGTTTGATGACGGAGTATTAGTTTTCTTTTCATTAATCTTCTTCGATAGTCTCTTCGAGTTTATAGACGCGAGATGCAGGAGAATTGCAGTATCGGAGAATAAACAATTCAATTAATATCGATGAATATATAGTTCTTGTGCTGAAAGCTACAGCTTCTACGAAATCAGATGAACGGATTCGTATCTCCACTTTACTTTTATCGATAAATTTTCATCCAAATACACGTTCAGTGTGTAGCTTATGTTACACGTATTATAGAATTTTAGAGATAAACAAATTTATCGATAAAAGTGAAGTAAGATAGGCCATCTCGCGCTCGAATATTGTGAAATCTACGCATCTATTCCGTTCTCGACTGTTATCAGTAAAAGAATTGGAAAAGAATAAAAGGGAGTCCGCCGCTTTAGGATTTAAACAAAAATATAAAAGATTTTAAAAAAATTTCAAATCTTTAAAATTTGATTTAATTTGAAGTACTGACGCACGTGTAACTGTAATACGTATGTTACAATAATCATTTGCGTATTGATAAAATACTCTATTATGTATATAATTTATCTTATCTATAGATTGCGCGCACACGATGTTGTATAACAACAAAACATACTACTTACAAATTATATTTTATACTGCCAAGAGCAGTAGTGTAGTATCTAATCGTTTTAATTGTTTGCAGTGTATTTTACGTAAAGCGATTGATAAATATTCGAAACGAGGCAAGGTAACAGCAGTATTACATCGCATTACATTGCATTATTGATATTCAAGTTTTATTCTTAAAGAAACAAAAACGCTAGCTGATTTTTTGTAACAACTTGTCAAAGTATAGTTATTTACATCGATGATATCGTTGTTGCTTGAAAATTTCTCGCTCGAATCAGTTTTTTCAAAATCGGAAATATATCGCCATCGAGGATGAGACAGCATCTTCAAAGTTAAACTTCATAAAAAGAACATACATATTAATTACAATTAATATTAAAAAAAAATTTTTTAAAAGAACTTTGATCATAATGAGGTCACGACTTTGATTTAAAAAATTCAATTTTTTGTTTACTCATCTTCGATTGCGCGCGATATCAGAAACAAATTAACATTTACAATTAAAATATTCTACTTCCTTATTTCACAACAAACAAAAACCTCATTAAACGCTCGTATGCGACATCTAATGAACACCTGTGGATTTTTGTTTCATTTTTTGTTCGATTTTTTTAAATGATTTTAGCGCGTTTATCTGAATTTCATAAATAATAAAAAAAAATCGAAGACTTATTTTAATATAAAAAAGAAAATATATACAAGTTTGTTTGTTTAATAATCCAAAAAGAAATTTAGTACAGTTCGCTATTTTAAATTGCAGGTCTACGTGGGATCAATATACACACACATACATCATTCACGTTCGGATAAACTTGCGTAAGCTGCGCCGGCGCGTTTTGTTCGCCACAAGGTTCGAGGTTGAGTCTCCGCTCGTACGCTCGTGATGGTGCTGTTTCCTCTTCTCCGCTCAGTCGCTGTCAGTCGTTAGACGCGTTGCGCCACTGACTCCTCTAACATCTGTGAAACCGGGACAAACGAATTTGAGCTTTGATGTTGTCATATGTTAACACGGCGATTCAATAGAAACATGCGATTTGTTCTTGAACATTCGTGTGTGTGATAATATCTGATAACCCGCCGAATCTGTGTAGTAACGCAAGACGGATATATACGCGAAAAGCCGAGATCGGTGCTGACACGCATCGTTACATCACGTGCAATTATTTATTGTTGTACTGGTCGCTTGCAGTGACGATGCCCGCGCAACTCAGCAAGTTTGCGATCGACACGAGCTGCATGGACTATGTTCACCCGTGGACAACTTCGTGCATCAGTTCGAACACGGGTCTCGGTTTACACTCGTTGCAAGAATCTCTCCGAATATACACGACTGTTTACATAGTATGTATTTGAAATACGTTAGTAGATACGTATATTATTTTTTCTGTGTTTCATCTCTCTCTCTCGGCAGAGAGAGAAAAGATTGAACGAATAATTTTCTCCCCGTTCGTTTAATTCGTACCGATCGTTTTGCCGGAATGATTTCATAATATTGAGAGAAAAACAGAACGTTGTGTCTTTCTTTTTGAGGACACATGCCCTTCAGTTTGTAATAATGCCAGTGCGCTCGCACCGAGCCCTGCAGCTGACGTTCTCGGGGGGAACGTACGCGTGCAGAGTGCAGTTGCACTGGACATTCGTGCCAAAAACCTCTATCTTTGAGTGCACTCGTACCCTGCGGGTATTTAAACGCGCGAAGGAATCTCAGCCTGATACACAATATACGAGTGATAACGTGTACATACCAGTAGGAACGTGAAACACAGCTGGAATACGATTAATGTTAAGTGACACGCGCACGCATTTTTATTATATTCGACCTTTGTTTTCTGCATTCGTTTTGTAATCATTTGAAATAATTTAAGGAAATGTATAGATCCAAGATCTTGAAAAAGATCTTCCGTTTTGGTTTTATATTTAAACGTGTGTTTTACTTAAATTTATAATTGAAATTACATTAATGTATTGTTGAGTATATATTAGCACAGATAAAAGCGTTACTGTTTTTACACATAGAGTTGTATTTTCATCATTAAAATAATATACATACATGTTTATGCAACTTTTGGTATCAAAATACAAAAAACTTGTTTGTAATTCAGATTAAACGCAATAATTTTAAAACTTACAAGAACATTTTACAACAACACAAGTTGTAAGTTTCACAAAGTTAGTTATACAATGATAAGCAAATAAATGAGATGACTGTTGGTCTCGTCTTAAAACATTTGATACAGAATGTACTTTTAACGTAATTTCCTCAGATTTACTAACTCTTATTCGTACTACTTGCAGATTGCTTTTTTAATGAGAAAAAAAATACCATCAAAGGAAGATATCATAAAAACTGCGTTAGGCATTCTCCAATCTACAGCATTTCTCTCATGGAGCGGTTTTTCTTACGCAATGTTTATTTGTCTATTAAGGTAAAATCATATAAACTAGAGAAATCAATTTTTCTTCAGCTTAAATTTATTTCCCCCCCAAAAAATCAATTTTGAATTTTCGCCGATCTCGCACTTGTCCGCATAACATCATTACATATTTATGTATAATCTCGCAAAGTTTGAGAAGTGCGAGAACAAAGTCATTGACCTCATTCGGTTCAAGAACAGAGAACATTTTTTCAGACAATGTGTTCATCTTTTGCTTAAAAAGCAACGAGAAGTGGTAAATGGAAAATAATTAGTGTCAGAAAACAATTTTTATTAAAAATACCGTATCATCTACGAGATATTAAAGTAAATGAAATAGTTTTAAAAATGATAGAAATTCTCTTACATATCCCACTACTTATATTCACGTCTTTATTTGTTAACATCTGTATAAAAAATGTATAATAATTGTGTTTTTTAGACGGATTTTCGGATGTTTTTATCTCCCAACTATATCTTTTTTACCAGCCTTCTTATCTAGCTTTACTGCTATTCTGATAGAGAGAACCTCTAGACGAACATTGTTGTGTCTCTATGTGTCGAACATTGTAAGTAGAACGTTGCAGCGGCCGCGTTTAATAGAATGCAAACGCTTGTTCACGACAATTTATGATTTTAATGCTTTATCATCCGCTTCAGCAGAAATTTCCAACAGTTGAAGAATCGTTGCACAACTGTTGCGCATTTTGTTGAGCGCGGCCAAATAATATGCGAATAAATATACATAAATTAGAAATAAATAATTCTATTGCTCGTTTTTATTTTTAACAGGCAACGGAAACGTTGTTTAGAATGGGCGTGTGGCGAGGATATTTCTCGCCCATTCCGAAAGGAGAGGTATATATCTTCGCTGTAAGCGTAGCTGTATTACTGTACTTCTTCCGATCAAAAGTTAATAAACAGGATCAAATATACAAAATACTTAGGTATTTGACACACTTGGATATTTATATGTAAAATATTCTTGCGTGTTGTGTTTAATGTGTAAACCATCCAGGATAATTGCTGGCAAACACGAAGAATCGGAATACCTCATAAACAGAAACTCGCGTCCTGAAACAACATCGGATAACGAAACTGTTGACAGAATACCAGAAAGTGGAAAAAGTTTACGGAATAATTCACGAAAACCCAGAACTAATATTGTTCGGACATCGTTTGAGACGTACAAATACATCATTAACATTATAAAAGCACAAAGTAAGCACGCCTCGTGTCCACATCCTTACAGCTGTATACATTACGTCTTGATGGTAAGCAAAATACGCAACGATCTATTCTTGAAGTATATAACAGTAGATTTTACTTCGTGCTGTTTTTACGCAAAAGGATAGCGCAAAACTCTTCGGTTACGGTGTTTGCGGACAATTAGCACTTAACTCAATCTTACAATTTAAAAGATTGCTTCAGAAGCCAAAATTATTAAAGTCCATCGTCTTTCGAAAACAAAACTTAAATCTAGCTGTATTTGTTGGAGGATTCACCGGTCTTTATAGGGTATGTCATTTTTTTGTTTGAATATATTTTTTGTATATAAAAGTGGTATCGAATAAATGTTATAATAAATGTTATGAGATTCGGTAATATCATTTGCCGAGTAATGGATTTTATCGTCTTTTGCTTTGTTCATGTGCAGTTAGCGTCGTGCTTGCTGAGGAGAACTTTCAACAAAGATTCGCACACTTACGCTATTCCCGCTGGACTTATCGCGAGTACGGCGTTTATGGCGTTTCCCAACAATACTATAACTTTGTATTTTATGTGGAAGGCATTACAGGTATTGTTACACATTCGTACATATATATGCATACACGTAACAGAAATTTATATAATTTCGTTTTTTTATATTACTTGCTACTTTGTTTCAGCTATTGTGGAATGACGCAGTAGAAAAGAAAAAATTACCTGAAGTAAAATGGTTTGTTATTTTCTTATATTGTTTAAGTACATCTATTCTTTTCCACGCAGCCATAATGGAACCGCAAAACTTAAGATCGTCCTACTGGAGATTTCTTTACAACATGTCTGGTGGAAGGTGAGTATTGAGAAACAAGTCTATTTTTATTTTTATTGTTTAGAATCTATTCTAAACAATAAATCGAATACTTCAATTTTTATATTGATTCTATTTCTTTTCTCATATTGATTCTAGAATAGCAATAATGAGACGGGAACCTTTGGATTTCTTTGGCTTGGAAACTAGCAAACATTTGCAAGAAGTGCTCAGGAAGACAAAGACCACAGATAAACTTACTTTTTCTTTCTGAACTAAAAGTGCTAAAGTACAAGTGTTCCACAACGACAGAACGTACCTTATCTTGTTTTATTTTCAAAAACGTATCCTGCAGAACCAAAGACTGCAAGCAGAGATGTACTATATATACGTGTTTTTGATACACATTAACTAATATTTAAAAAATATAAACTAAGAGTTTTAAACATTATATATACGTATGTGTGTATAATTTATATGTATATGTACATGTATAAAATATGCACACAAATTTAAATAGTTTTTTTTAAGTTGAAGCAATGGTGCTTGGATGTTGTGATATTAAAAAAAACTTAATACTTTTATATATAAATAATTTTCAAATAACTTAATATATTTTTAAGTGATGTGATAGAGAAAAAAGAAAATAGACAAATGTTATTTAATGATATGTGAATATGGTTGTATATTAATGACGAGAAGTACATTATGTAAATACATAATGCACAACAAGAGAGAAAGAGAGAGAGATATATATATATCTTATTTCTATAATATATTATCAGAAAAAAAAGTTTGAATTTATATGCAGCGCAAGCTTTACTGCTCTCAATGTAAACGGCACATATAAATGTTTGTCTTCAAGTTTATTACAAATAAATATATAATTTGTTTTTTTTTTGTAGATTATTTACTCTTTGTGATAAACGATAATATAATATCTATACATTTATATTATTTGTATTCTTAGCAAATTCTAGCGCGCTATTCATTATATTACCTATGGCTATATTCTTGCAAGATATTTTCCTCTTTTTATTTCGTAATATATTGTCCTGCTTAATACTGCTTTCTATTTTTAATTTTTTAGGATTTATAATGCCAGGAACTATTTGCGATTCTAGAACTGAAACAGGATGTTTCGTCGGTTTCAGGTCAAATGGCTCTAAACTTTTCAGTGAATCCTGCCATGGCAGTAACCCGATAGGACATTTATTCCATTGATACGTATCTGAAAAGTCAGAAGATATTTTCTCTATTTATATTACTTTTTTCAAAATTATCAGTTTTTTAAAAAGTGTTCAAAATTACCAAGTGCTAGTTTCCACTGAGAATTGCGGATTATTTGATCTGCCAAAACAATCTGTTTTGGTTGTTCCTTGTTTATGCGCGCTTCACTTTCTATTGAAGTTTCAGAAAGATCTTCGATGGTGAATATCTTGTCGCAAACATCGTTGCTTTCATCCTTGTATTTTTGAAATGTATAAATTTTTACCAAATTTAATAATTGTCCTCTCGTTTTCTTGTCTATCCTCGTCGCAACCAACATCAGAATTGGTTCTATCAATCTCGCGGAGAATTCGTTAACATGTAATAAAAGATTCGATAAAAAATCGATATCAACGAGAAAGCGTGGTACAGTGCTCGTTATATCTAACCACAAGACATGCCTCAGGTAGGCATGTTTGGAATGTACAAGCTTTCTGAGACGTTCGTTTATATTCATTATAGATAGTTCCACGTCTGATTTGAACTCCAACGTATGAGAAATATTGTGAGCAATATTCAACTGAACAAAACTGTAGACAATAGAACTTAACCATAAAGCGGCGAAATTTCTTCTTTCTTTGCTCTCTTCTTCTTGGTTCACAATATCGAGCAGCTTGAGCATCAGCGTCTCTAACGCTCGAACTCTATGCAATAACAAAATAATACTTTTCCAAAATTGAAGTACCTTAGGTGATAAAAATTTCCTTTTTAAGTCGATAATAGAATTTCTTGTTTTCTGTTCAACAATTTCCACGATATCAAAATTCAGTAAAAAAGCTTTGATTTCGCACAACATGTTACAAATAACTGAAATCTGTTTCTGCAGATTAAATAATGTTTCATCAGTTAGCTGTACAGATATATTAGCTAAGAGTAAAGCTCGTGCACTTTTTAAACTGTACTGATTGCCAATTTTTATAGTTTTTCTGTCAATGACTACGCACACATCCTCATTATTGTTTGAAGTTTTGGTGTGCTTGTACTGATGCAACATGTAAATTCGTAGTTCCTCCAATTCTTCCCTGATATAATACCAGATAATTATTATAATGAAACTATGTTGAATTAATAATTTATAAATGAACGTACCGTATTTCCTTTACCGGTAAGTCCGACACTAATTCATGACCAGCCTTGATATACAAACCAACAGTTATCCACAGTTCTATCAATCGTGCAAAAGTACGTTTTCTCAAATGTTCTTCATCTTCTAAGACATCAAAATTTGTCATGCAACGTTCTTCCATAGCACGTGCCTCTGGTGCCCAATACTCATTCTGTAAGCATGACATCTTGTAAGACTCATGTGCACATTATACTCAAAATAGATCAACATACATGTAACCAGTGAAGTAATATATTAATCGCTATCCTTAACACCGCAATAGACGGCAATTCATGTCCATGAGCAGCTTGATGCCTTATATTAATTATCCAAGTTGGGAGTTTTACTAGCTTGGCGACCTTTAACAGGGACGTGTGCTTTATGTATTCTATATTCGTTATGTGATTAAAAAATCTCATTATGGTGGTTGAGTATATCAGGCTTAAGTCATTTTCAGAGTACATCGGCAACTCGCCATTGTCAATCTTGGGCGACCATTCGCGATCGCGAAGGCACACTTGCAAGATCAACAAGGTGCATTCCACGCCTACCGGTAATTTTGGCATTCTAAAAAACAATGTTGGTCTTTGAATTAATCATATAAGAAACAAAATTAAAAATAATACATAATATTCCACATTATATACCTGGCTTTCCATGCCAGAAGTGTTTCGTACGCTTTCGTTTGTTCAACCGAGTTGTTGGAGTAAATTTGCTTGTACACATTGTGCCATTCCTCCCTTAAAATCAAAAGTTAAATCGATTATTTGGCATTATTTTTCGTCGCGATTTGTTCAACTCGAAGCGATACTCACGGAGACAACCATGGCACTTGTCTCAAATCTTTTGATCTCATGCGTAGTGCCATGCTTATGAGGTTATCACGTGCTTCTACACGTGCTCTACTTGGTTTTTTGAATGATGTATATGTTTACATTTATTGTCCACTCTTGATAGCCTTGATGATTGTAGGCCGAGTCTACAAGTGTGGATCTCGCAAAAGTAACCAATCGAGTTGACCAATTAGACAAATTGACCAATCACGACTGGCGACGCTCAATCAGCTGTTTAACTTCTCTGGATTCTCGGATGGTCCATAATGAATTGACACGTGAATCGAAAACAGTGAATGTGTAGTGTTAGTAATAATGGCGAAACAAATTACCACGGTACTAATAGACCTTAGTGGAACACTGCACATTGATAACACAGTCATCCCAGGCGCTGTACAAGCGTTAAATAAGTATTGTTTATTGTTTTTCTGAATGTTTAAGTAAACTGGTTTTTTTCAATATTATTTTCTACGTTTTTTTGTTCTTTAGAATTATAAACTTGTTTTTTCTGTGATCCAGGCTACGAAATGCGAATTTGTCCATCAAGTTTGTCACCAATACCACTAAAGAGTCAAGTAATTGTTTGTATGAACGCCTAATAAAACTTGGGTTTGACTTAAAAAAAGAGGAAATCTTCAGTTCTCTAGCTGCTGCAAGAAAATTGATTGTCTCTCGACAACTAAAGCCAATGTTGTTAATTGATCCTGCAGCAATGGAAGATTTTGAAGATCTTGTAACAGATGAGACACCTAACACGGTAGTAGTCGGTTTAGCTCCGAGTAAGTTCAACTACGATGAGCTGAACAAAGCCTTTAGGTATACTTGTGTTTTTTTTTTTTTTTTATCTTTGCTCTTTGTACTTTGTCAGTTAAATGTAACATGTACTATGTGTAATTCTCTAGATTGCTCTTGGATGGTGCGTCTCTCATAGCTATTCACGAAGGGCGATATTACAAGCGTCCTGATGGTTTGGCTCTAGGTCCTGGTGCGTTCATCAAAGGCTTGGAGTATTCAAGCAACGTGAAAGCGGAAGTTGTTGGTAAACCGACCAAAGATTTTTTCAAAGCAGCTTTAGGAGAATTAGATCCTGCACAAGCTGTAATAATTGGAGATGTAATAGTCCAATTTATCTTTTTTTGTTGTGTGTTATTGTTGATTTTTGTGTCATTAACTTGAATTTACAATTAGGATGTGAAAGACGACGTGGCTGGTGCACAGGCAGCTGGGATCAAAGGTATATTGGTGCAAACTGGTAAGTACAGAGCGGGAGATGAGGATACGATCAATCCGAGACCGGCAAAAGTATGTAATTCTTTCGTACAAGCTGTCGAGAGTATTCTTGATGGAATTATTTGAAGATTCGGGTTGAATAAAATTGAACCCAAACAAATAATAGAATTTATTTATTTACACATTGCTTCATAAACAATGCAATCTCTTTTGTATGTATATATATATATATATGTCTGTATATACATATACATATTAAAGTATATATTTTATTATTTAAATACTGATTTACAATGTACATAGTTTGGAAAATGACGCTATATTATACTGTAAAATAGACAGTAAATACAAATAGAAATTAATTACTTCTCTGATATGGTACTTTATATTGCCTTCCGCGTATGTCTAAGTAAGTAATAATTTCTACTAAACTGAGGTAAAAGATCGGGATGTGATGATATATTATACAAAGAGATAGTCGGATAAATATGAAACTATCGTGGAATGATAGAAATATCGTCTCTTTGTACACACACTCGTAGAAAATCGTAGAAAATTCGACTTGTTCATCAACATCTGAGAGAGTTCGCAGTATCTCTTAGGTCAAAATGATAAAATATATTTTACAAAACAATGTAAACATTTGTGTGTAATAAGCATTCGATTTTTATTTGTAGAGACGATATTGGTCTAATTTTCATATCGTTCTAAGAACTTATAAATTTAATCAATTTCTTGCCCAATACACGCTACATAGCTTTTTAAATAGTACACTAGTGTAGAATCTGCGCTTATATGTAATAATAGTGAAACAGGTTTTTTACGGAAACTAAGTGCCCTCTCTTTCAAAACGGTATGGTGCGCTGTGAGTATCGTTTTCAGTACAAAATTTGGCACCGACGACTCTGCTATCCTTTTTGTTTTTATACAAGTCAACAAATATATACGAACGCTGCATTATTCTCAATTTTCAATGTAACATTCATCGAGAAGCAAGAGATGAAGTGGATATTTTGATTTTTTTTACTATTGTTCTAGTATCCAATATATTTTTTTTAATTTTCTGTGCTTAAATATACATAACACGATGTGTTCTCTCTTCGGAAAATAAAAGACTAAATTTATCGTTCTCCTACTGCATTCAACAAAATTTATACACTATTCATTAAAGAGTAAATATACTAATGAAAAACGTAATAAACATGCCGTGACATAGCACGATAACTGTGTTTGCACGATTTATTAGACAATTTATGATTAATTAATGCGGGAAAGAGAAAAAATGTATTGCGATCATGTATTCTGTAATTACAGCTGTTTTGTTTTAAATACAAGTCATAATTTAAATGCCCTCTGTAACTTATGATCTATCAGGCACATCTTGATTATTCACATTGTAGTAATGAATACCTAAAGTGTGTGATCTGTTAAAGAAAAAACACTAACTAAAATGGCAAAGTAGTTAATCTCGATTTATGCAAGATATATCTGGGTAAAAAAAAAAACAAAACAAAAAAACAAAAAAAAACAATATACATTTTGAATATCTATGTGTAATAAACTGAATTTAATGATTAATAATTATTATCTATATTATTATAAAATCGTTGTAATAAAGAATTGAAATAATTTTTAATTGAAGGCAATCTCTTAAAAATACAATTTTCTCTCTCTCTCTGTTTCTCTCATCTCATACGCGACCCGCTATATACTATGTATATGTTGAGAGATGATTAAAAGATAACTACGTTTGTTGTATATTACGATCTAATTTACATTTGGTTCAAAAAATTATTTTAAAAAAGTCACTAACGATTTAAAAAAATATAAGTTTACTGCGCAATTTTTTCTTTCTCTTGAAACAACTCGTGTACAGATATATACCAAATAAGGCAGTCTTAACTAGATGATACATGGTTTTTTCTTTTTGCCATTTAGGTATATGCACGTATTCTCGTAGAGTCAAAAGTTAATTTATCGTATCTCTTATTGTGTCTTACACTTATTATTCAAACCTACGGCACACGATGTTTTTTTTTTTTTTTTGTCGCGCTGGATCTATATATCGCGAACATCCCGACGATCTGCGACAATTGTTTGATTTTCAAATTGCTCGCAATTCCAACGCTCGCGTGCGACCTAAAGTACAAAAAAAGCATCGCGTGCCGGAAACTTTTAGACAGAAAGACAAGAAAAGCGATAGCAAATAAATTCTAAAGCATCGCCAAATCGAGGTTTAAAGTCTAAAGGTTTTGAAAAATAAATATAAAATTGCAATGTATACTCTGGTAAAGTGAGAACGATGTACATTTGCATTTTATTATAAAACACTATTCGCTCCTGCACACACACACGCAAAACTTAAATGACGCAAACGATGCATTTCTCAGACCATATTAATAAAAACTAGTTACACAAGTTTCTCTTTTTTTTTCTCTTCGAAATTTCACTACTTGCGGTGTAATAGCAAACAACATTATTGGCGTCGAGTTTGTCCAATAAAGATCTGATCAAAATTTTTATTCATATGGCCTACTATTAATGGACATTATTCACAGTCTGTGTGTGTTTATATTGTATATATACAATTGTAGAATTGAGGAAAAAAAAACTTATCTCTATTAACACAAGAACAACACTACGTAAATTTGTTTTAAAACTCGTCTCCCAAGATCAAATTCTGTTTAATACTGTAGATCTGTGCTGCGCTATTTGCGATATCAATGAGATATATTCGCGTGCGTGCGTGCGTGCGCGCGCGCGCGCGATGGATTGTAATCATGCACACATAAATCTCTATTTCTTTTAGTGTTAAATATGTATACATATACTTATATGTCTTATTTAATTTCAATCGGGACAGAATTTGACCTTACTATAATGCACAGACAAGTACATTTTTTTCTTCTCTTGGAACAATAGGAAATATTGAACTTCTAATTTGGCTATTCAAATATAATTTGATTAATGATAAATTGACATATCTCTTTCTCTCATTTCTCTTTCATATATATTTGTATATATTTCTTCTCTTTGCTCTTTCTCTCTCTCTCTCTCTCTTTCTCTCTGTCTACTATAACAAGGCAGGTATGGAATACACATTTGCATGCATGCGTGTAACAAAACACCATTGTAGAATTTCTCTCATATCCTTCAATAAATACTCAATACTCTTATTACAATACTAAAAAACCAAGAGGCGATTCTGCGTAACGGTTACGGAGAGTACAGCTAAAAAAAACTAGAATTAAAGAAAAGAGAAGCATAGAAATTCTTTTCGTGTGTCGGAGGATCACCTGAATCCGTTAGACCCAACGAAACCGAACATTTCTTTTTCTTCGGCCATGCGGTCATCCATCCCCCCCTTTTTCGTTATTACATTTGTGCTATTACGCTCTTTATTGATAGTTTTGTTTTGAAGTGGGAAGACGATGAATGGCTGACAAGCACTTTAAACTCTATATCCAGGTACAAAAAGCATGCTACTCTCAAGCAGATTAGTCATGAATGTTATGCTCCGTGTTGTGTACGTGTTACGTGTATGTGTGTGTGTGTGTGTGAATTTGGCCGCAGGATGCAGGTGTATAAAAGTGAGCAATTTTACGTTAATACTTCCACACATTATTGCCTTCGAGCTTCGCGCTTTTACGTCCTAATATTCCAGATACGCCTCGCTCTCCTTCGCTTCCGCCTCACACGAAACATCCGGCAAATCCAGGTGATCATTACCTAAGAAGAAGGTGGCACAAGGTACCATACTCTGCAAGTAGCCCATGTATTTTCCACTATTCTGAAACGTATCAATCCTGTTATTTATTTCCTATAAGAAAAGAGAGGGGATTGCGCGGCTTGTGTGACTTACCATGGTATAAAACCAGGCACACTGTAAAGTCTCACGATGCAACGTAGTTAATCCTAACTATTTAACAGGGCGATAATGAAGTGTTAAATCCGCCGAACTTTTCCAGATAAAATGTCTAACCTGGAAAAACGATTATGACACGCACGTGTCTCAAAATCTCGTTTCTCTATGATATTGAAAGATTCGCTCGACTTTTCGTACGTACTGTTCTCAGATCCATCGAAGGATCCAAAACCTGATCGTTACATAGGAGTTCGACCTTTTCCTCGGCCAATGAGGAATTATCAGTGTTGGAATCCGTGTTCGTCCTGTCACCCGCTGGAGATCCGCTAGAAACTGTATTCCCACCTCCGGCTACGGAACCCGAATCGCTTCCCGCGCCAAGCACCTTGTCGTAAACGTGTTCCGCCACTTTACGCACTTGTATAAAATCGTTCGCGATCAACCGATCCCTTCAAAAGATAAACGCATGCGAGATTATCGAATTACGTCACACTGTCATTCCGATCTCAAGATACACATCACATACTTTTTCAAACTCTTTACGCCCGAAGACGAATGTGGAAGAAGATAGAATGGTATTTTTATGAATGATGGAAGATTTTTGTTGACGACAATATTTACCACCCATGGAGGTACCGTCTCGGTCAGCAGAACACCCTCGGTTTCACCCGCGGCATCTCGAACCAACAATCGGTAAACAGTTCTGCCTCCCACTTCGCTGATAAATAAAATAACATGATAATAAAAATGACACGGTAACTTTTTTTTATTGAAACACTCACGGTTACGTACCTGAAAATGACTGGTGTGTGACTAGGTACTGAAAAGTATGGATTCCCTCCTTTCGTGTGCATAGGACCGTTTTCATCGTTGCCATTGCCTTCATTTTCGTCGTCGGCGTGGAGCGGTCTCCACCAGTGCTCGAGCAACGCTTGCAATAAGAGGTTTCCATAATTCACTAAAACAACACGCCAGAAAAATTAAAAAACTTTCTAGAATATATACATCTAACTGTCACTGCTATTAACAATGTATCAATAACATATCGATGTTATTAATAAAACAGTTGATTACCTTTCTGATCTACAGCATCATTTTCCGCCAGACCGGCCTCCTTGGCAGAGACCCATGCAGAGAAACAATCATTTTCGTCTTGTCCTAAGTGTATAGTTAACATCTGCAACAAGATCGAGAATCATCAGAAATGTTGTATTTAATTTACAATTTTGTCGAAAAAAATACATACCCCCGTTTTGAGATCAACGTTGAACCAGTTTGGAACGTAAACTAGTTTATTTCTCTTTTTACATTCCTGTTCGAAATCGACTTTACCTAAATCCTCCACTTTACACGCCTTTAGTACATCGAACAAGGCAACATTTTCCTCTGTGTCCTTCGTCAAAATGTATCGCTTGTCGTTCAATATGTGATAGTGTCTTATAGCGGGAGCGCCTAGTATTTTTTGTGTAGGTTCAGTATTCCTTAAGATGTTATTTGACATATTACTGGCCGAATCGCAATAATCGCCAATTCCTAACTCCTGCCAATCCTTTTGACTTATAGACTGAAATGACAGATAATTTTTTTCCTTTATTATACACTTTTCTTCTAATTACAATTACATTGAGACTTTATTTACCCAGTTATTGATAGTTGATTCGCTGGTTGCAACCCAAATACTGGATTGATCCGGTATCATAGCCATCTTGAGTATAGGTGCCTTTTCTTCACAGATAACTGTATATCTGTCAGGATGGCTCAATTCTGTCATTACTATTCTTTTGTCCCTACTGCCAGATATCATGTGTGTAAAGTTCTCAGTTGCCTGTAGAACACATGTGCAAATTTTAATACAAATCTCTACGGAGCAATTGCTTGGAACAAAGAACTTCGTATGTGTATAAATTTACCAATAAAGCCCATACGCCTTCCTTGTGAACTCGGAAAGTCTGTACACATCTTTGCTGGCCGAGAGACCACAATTTGATAGTGCCATCGGAACTCGCGGACAAACACTGAGTACCGTCCTTGTTCAGGACTAACGCTTTAATATTGTCCGTGTGTCCACGAAGTTTCATAAGTTTACTACAATATCGCGGATCCCATACTCGGAGAACTTTTTCCGTGCTGCCGCTCACTACAATTGTGCCACTTTGGTTCATCGCCAGACTGTATATCGAGTCTCTGTTTCCGTTCAGTGACGACGCTGATACGATAAATTTGCAAAATTAATTACACATATAAAAGACACAAATGCTAAGCGTTACATTATCGATACGTACTCGTCACCGTGTTATTACTAGCAGTAAGAGCGGTTAGTGTATTAACGTCCCAGAGAAATATTGACTTATCCAGGCCAGCACTAGCGACTTGCTCTCTGTCTTTGGCGTATGCCAACGCTTTGACATAGTCTTTGTGAGTGCGCAATGTGGACATACAAAAACCTTTATGCGCATTCCACACCTTAACGGTTGTATCAGAACTTGCGGATATAACTGTACAGATTGAATGGACAATTGACATTAGTTGAAAATGATAAAAACTCAAGATCAAAATTGTCTTAGAAAATTATTAAATTTTGAACTTGCACATATATATATATATATATACATACTATTTTTGCCATTACAACACAAAACTATATCATTGACCCAATCTGTGTGATGTTCCATTGACTGGATATATGGATCTTTGATATTTCTACAATTCCATATCCTTATAATGCTGTCTCTCCCAGCAGAATATAGTCTATGCAGACCTGGATCGTATTGCAACGAATTAATGCCAGCTCTGTGCTGCTTCTCCACCTCATCTCTTATAACCATAGACACCTTTGACCAGGCAAAATAAACGCAAATTAATATAGAATACAATTAATACGGCACCTCTCTTTTATATATTTCCGCTACTTCTCAATTTTATCACAAGAATAAAAAAATTTTTACAATACTGAATTTTTAATACTGAATTTATATAAAACTTTAATCTCAATAAAATAATAAAAACCAATACAATAAATAAAATATCCATACATGTGCATTCTGTTAATGTTATGAGATTGATAAAAAAAAAATTCAGCGTTTGCAAATACGTTTATATTCCATCTAGAGGAAAAAAAAAAACGAAATTGCAATCTGATATAAAAAACACTTGAATGTTGCAAGAAGTGCTGTGATAAACTACACTTATCGAAAAAAATTTCAAACTAAGCACTTGACACTGTATAATCGCTTCCCGCTCTTCGTGACGATGTGTTACGCGCGCGCGAACACAAATTTCTCGATTCCGTGAAATCTAATCTCTTCGCGAAATCAACGGGGCGGACTCTTCGAGTCCGGCAATAGAGTTGTCCGACTCGGTTACGGATATCCGTGTTGACGATATAAAATTCTACATCTTGGATATACCTGTATTTTTTTACGAGCATTCTGCCCAACCGTCTTGTGCGCTGCCATTGCGCTCCGGGATTGTTTTTGTCCAGCGGATGATCACTCCGGTTCGATGACGACCCCGTCGTCGGGGTCGGAATACGAAGTACGCGGCTCGCGGCGTAACGCAAATCAAAATGCGACGGCAGTTTCACGTTGCACTCGCGATGTCATTAACATCACCACCATGGTCGCCGAGCTCACTGCCGGGACGCGGGCGACATCGTCGTCGTCGTCGTCGTCGTCGTCGTCGTCATCGTCGTCGTTGTCGTTGTCGTCGTCGTCATCGCGTTGTTATCGCTGACGGGACAACAAGCGTTGCTGCATCATCACAATCACCGAGAAGTCGTCGCGAGAATTCTCTTTCGATTGACGAAGATCCTACGTGCAACAAACGTCGAGCGATTCTTACTCTCGACGACGGGAACGGTCGTTCACGGCCGCGTGGAAACGCACCACAGCCACACTCGTGTTATCGTAATTCGTAATTGCTGCTACTGTGCTTCCGTGTTGTTCCGCGCCGCCGGCGACGTCAATACGCTTCAACATTACGCCGCTCGTAACGTTACATCACGGCGCTGCTTGCCAAACAAATACAGCAGTCAGTCCGAAAATGCGCTCAACGAGATCTCTCTCATGCGAACGCGACTTTCGACAAGCGAGTGTTGTTGTAAACGTGACTTTACCACGGAACAGTAGTCTTCTCTCTGATAAAATCAAATCGACCAATCATAGACCAGGTTTGTGGGACAAAGCTAATCCGACTGTTTCGCAACAACCGTTCTCGCGATATTGACCAATCGCACCGACAATTGGCCGAATTTGACCAATCGGGGCTGTGTTCCGAAACTCCGTGGAAAATCCTACGCAACGAGCGTAGGACCCGTGTAACCTTCCTCTTTCTCTGACTTCAATGGAGTAGATCCGCTCCAGTGAGCCGCAACTGCACCTAATCGAGTCTGGGCTTCGACGCATCTGCTGTTTGTTTCGTCGACGTGATTCCGTTATCTCATTGCGAGAAAGCCTTGAGGCGCGTATTGCTGGCTAATATTCATACGGTTGCGATATCGCCTAACAGAAGCGAATAGAAGTGTTGCCATCCACACAGTTACCACCCACCGTGACACATGGGCGGGTGATTCTGGATCGGTCGGAGAAACGGACTTCGCCATTTTCTCAGCGTGTAAACTTTCTTCTCCGTTAGCGTGGCCGATTGTCGTTGACGTTCGACGTTCGATCGACGAAGATTTGCGAGATCGTGCATGAGCACATCGAGTGCGGTCGCATGCGACATCGCCGGCGACATGAATCAGTCGCGTAATTTCACATCGTTGTTAAATCCGAGCTATCTGCAGAACGCTCAGCAACAGCAGCAGACCCCCACAGGCACGGCTTCGGCAGCGGCCGCAGCTGCGGCCGCGGCGGCTGCCGCGGTAAGTGCCGCGATCGCGAACGGCGCGCAGGTGAACGCAAATCCGAACTCGATGAGCAATAATACTACGTCGTTAACCCGAAAGCGGGAAGCAGAAGGTAAATCGACTTTGTTGTCAGATTCTCTTTTATTCTCATTTGTTTTTTGGGCTTTTTGTAAAAATTAAAAAAAATTTGATCCCGATTCCTACAGATGTTTTATATAACGTGTGTCTTGTTATTTGTTAAATCTTTTGAAAGATATTTTTATATTTACTGAAGACACTTTGTTGCTTCTGTGTAAGCTCTTATTCTATCGAACAAATTTTAGGTGATAGTAAGCAGGAGAAAGAATTGAAAGAGGTAGAACGTAAGAAGAGGAAAAAGACTAGATGGAGTGGTAGCGAACATGACAAAACATTTATACCAGGGATGCCTACGGTACTACCAACAAATCTGACTCCTGAACAGGAGAAAGCTTACCTCTGTAAGTTTCTTTCTCTTATTTAATATTTACAGTATCATTTTCTTTCTAGTAAGTTAGTACACACACATGGCTAGGGAATTCTTTTAAATATTTTGCCTCTGTACATAAGTTTCTAAAACCTAATTTATAGAATAGATGGAGTGATGTAAGTATATGATGATGTGTATATATATATATATATTTATATATATATATATTGATAAAAATTCAAAATTTTTAGAGGTAAGCATCAGGAAGCTTCTTAAAAACTATTGAATCATCAAATTTGGCAAGAGGGATTGCCAATTTTGCTGAATAATTATCTGATCATTGATATATTTTCAAATGCCACTAACTTGTTTTCAAGCAATTTGTATATTTCCATAAGACTTTTATATTGTTTATCATTTAGATGTCATTAATAATTCAAGATATGATTTTCAAGAAATATAAGTTTAATTAATGAGCCATGTAAGAAGCAACTTAAACTTTTTACTTGGGAACTAATGATTAACTGTGATGTTTAACTTTAAATATACACAATACCTTGATAATATTGTTGTTTTTTTTTTGTTTTTTTTTTTTTGTTTTTTTTTGAAAAAGCTTATTTTATAGAATGTATATGATTATGGCAAATTGGCAATATCTAACTGTTGGGGTTTCCGCCCCCTCTAACCCGTTGGTTTACAGTTCAGCTGCAGATTGAGGAAATCAGCAGGAAACTACGCACCGGCGATCTTGGAATTCCGCTTAATCCTGAGGAAAGGTTTGAAAGAAACTTACATACCAAAAAAACGTTATATCTACCAATACCTATCTACTGACCATACAGCAGCCCGTAATACAGAAGCCTTAAAGAAAATATCTCTATATGGCTCAGGTTCAATTAGTGTGGGAATACCGATCCATCATTTGAAAACACTGGGCTTGATTAGAGCCCCCACAACAAGAAGATGAATTTTGATAGTATTGGTTTGCCCTAATCAATCTATTTTAATAATTCAGTTTTATTAAACACTGCTACAAGTCGCGGTTACGCTTCATTTCACATTTCTTAAAATTTTATTTAAAGAATCCAAAAGCATAATCGTACGCACAAAATGGGTTTTCATGACAAATTGATATCGATCATAAATTAGTAGCAGTGTTTAAAGAGAGCAGTGGGTATTCTAGTTGATGTATATTTCTTAAATAGATACATTCTTTGCACACATAGAACAGCTCTGAGATGACCTGTTGCAATCGAGTTTGATAAGCGGATAAAAATTGTCACAGCACCGATAACATAGATTCTCTTATCAATTTTGTTAGTACATGAGAGCTTTCTGCATGGGTCACTTAGAGTGAAAAAAGTTCTGTCCCTTTACGCAGGCTGCCGTGATTTGCACGGCACATCTTGAAACGATTAATAATTTTAATAGGAAGATTCATTATTGCTAATTACAATCTTAATGAGGAAATCTTTCAGGAAAAATATCGGTTTATTGAAATTTTAACAGAGAATTTAACGTTACTTTCAGGTACAGGTCTTAAACATAACGAATACACGTATACTTTTTCCTAATAATTTATTCCAATAGGTTTATAACTTACCGATTTTAGCTGGATCCATTATTTTTATGTAATTGTGTTTTTTATTAATAGCATTGTGATATAGTGAGATATATACTGATTGAGATATTACATGATATTAACTAATGCAAAAGATTATTTTAATAATCACAGGATCTGTCTTAGCAGCTGACATCATACCGATATCTGCCGTGCACAAACGTGCAGTCTCCCAGTGGTTGCCTACTGTAGAATATTAAATAATATGCTATATCCGGCAGTGACATTAATTTTTCTATTCTTCAACACATATTAGGAAACTTAATATATACAGTTTTTTTGAAAAGTAATCTTAACAATTAACACATTTAAAGCTCTGATTATGTAATCGAAACACAATATACATTTTAATATTAGCAACTCTATTGATCACGTGCAGTTGCAAAATTTGTGGAACGTTCTTTTTGTTAAGATTTTTTTTTTAAGTACAGTTTCTAATAAAAGCAATATTCTTTATAATTGCTGGATCCTCAAACTTTTCACGATTACTATAACATTTATAGAGAAATTAAATTAATATAAAAAAAAAAACACTAGCACAGCGCGATGATTTAGTTACATATCTATCACAATTTTATGAAAAAAAAAATTGTCTATCGGAATAAATGTTTTGCTCGAAATCACAACGGTTTTTCCCCACTTATTCATACAGTCATAGTAGGTTCAGGTTGCTTGTATATTAGTATCATCTTGATGAAAATTTATATCTTGATATGGGGTATTACCTTTTGTATTTTTCAGATCTCCATCTCCCGAGCCTATTTACAGTAGCGATGGTAAACGGTTGAACACAAGGGAATATCGTACGAGACGTAAATTGGAAGAAGAACGTCATAATTTGATTCAGAAGATCCTGAAAATCAATCCGGAGTTTAAGCCACCGCCAGATTATAAGTAAGTTTCACAGATATTATTTCTGTTATAAGTAACATTTTTTCTAACTAGCTCTGCTCATTAATTGTTTTTTTTTTTTCTCAAATACTCAATTTATCTCTTTTGTTTCAGACCGCCAATAATAAGAGTTCATGACAAAGTGATGATTCCCCAAGAAGAACATCCTGATATAAATTTTGTCGGTTTACTCATTGGACCACGTGGAAATACGTTAAAGTGTAATTGCATTTTGCAAGCTATTATCAATCGTATATAAATGAATTTTAAATTAAAAATCTTGATTTATTTATATTTTCTTTTGAAATCTAGCCATGGAAAAGGAGACAGGCGCAAAAATTATAATTCGCGGCAAAGGATCCGTGAAAGAAGGAAAAGTAGGCAGGAAAGATGGACAGCCTTTACCAGGCGAAGACGAACCCTTGCATGCCTACATTACCGCGAATAATTTAGACGCTGTGAAAAAGGCTGTAGAACGAGTATGTTTCTCCGTATTATTTTTTTTTTTTTTTTATAATTCTTCTGTAACTTGTAAGTTACGTTAACGTGAGAAAATGTATAATGTAATTATGTAAGATAAATGCATTGTAGCGTTATAATACTAATTGAATTATTGCAGATACACGAAATTATTCGTCAAGGTGTGGAAGTGCCAGAGGGACAAAATGATCTACGACGTAATCAATTACGTGAATTAGCTTTATTGAACGGCACTTTGCGTGAAAATGACGGTCCGCGTTGCACCAATTGCGGTGCTCCGGACCATAAGTCATGGCTGGTGTGTATAACTTTTCTGTTATGTTTTTTCAAAACAAAGAATTAGAAAAAAATACCGCTACGACATACTAATGCGATTTTTTAATTTTTTAATTTCAGTGTCCAGATAAGCCAAATGTAACAAATAATATAGTATGTTCGAATTGTGGTGGTGCGGGACATATCGCTAGAGATTGTAGATCCAAGAGACCTGGTCAAGGTGGTCCGGCTGCCGCTGGAATGGGAGGAATGGGTCAGACTGGAGACAAAGCCAAAATAGATGAAGAGTATATGTCGCTTATGGCCGAATTAGGAGAGGGACCACCACCAGACAGGTCAAAGACCGCACAGGCCAGACAGCAGCAGAATCCCAATCCTAATCCTAGCTATCCTGGACTCTTCGATAGGTAAGAGCGACAAGTTGTCTTTTTTCTCCTTGTTCCAATCTAGACCGAAAATGAATCGTTCTTTCCTTTGCTTTTAGGCAGCAGCCTCCTCGTGCATTAATGGCAGCTCCAGCGCATCCACCACCGCAGATGATGCAGGGAGGTCCGATGATGCCACCACCTAGCATGGCGCCACCGCCGTGGAGTCAAGGTGGCGAAGGAATGAACAATATGAACATGCAATGGCAACCACCGGTGAGCATGCCGCCCCCACCGGGCGTGATGCAGCCACCACCGCCGCCGCCTGGCTCCACTACACAGCCCAACATTCCTCCGTTAATGCCGTGGATGGCCAGCAACAATCAACCACCACCACCGGGCCAGATGCCACCCACGCAGATTCCGCCGCCTGGAATGGGAATTCCGCCGTGGCAGCAAGGTCAGCAGGGACCGATGCGACCACCACCGCCGGGAACGGCGCCGCCCCCCGGATTTCCGGGTACCTGGCAGCCACAACAAATGGGCGGCTGGCCACCGGCTGCCCCAGTTCCACCACCGCCACAGCAACAAACTCCCGCGCCACCGGGGATCGATTTGAACACGCTACCGACGTTGCTAGCCCAGCCGCCACCGCCACCTCCGCCCACTAGTTAGTTCTAATCACAATGTGTCGTAACGGTATCATTAATAAACAAAAAGTTGAGAGAATTAAGCAGAAGAAAAAGATTACAAAGCCCGAAGAGAATTGTTGCATTCAGATAGGGAGACGTAGAGCAAAATTTAATTATAGACCAGAAACTAGAAATAAATATCATTATGACTAGCTTTGATTATATTATTTTGTACACAGTTTTTTTTTTTTTTTTTTTTTTTTTGTCTTGATATGCGAGTAATCACTGGCATAAAGTGTAACTCTTAATTCTAAGTTCTAAAAGTTGTGTGCTTTTATGAACTGTGTTGATCACTAGATACATATATATATCGTCAAAAAAAATGTAGGCACAGGTTGAACAGTCCTGTTTCGTTTTTCAGAGTTTTGAATTTGTTTCGCGCGCTCTAAAATTTTTTATTTAAAGCACTGTTCTAAGATATTTTTTGTTTTGTAGTCTATTCCAGTCCCGGATAATTGCTTCCAAAATTGCAAAACCTATCAATGTTGAAAAATTGTAATATAGATAAGAAAGAAAAAACCATACTTATGTGTCCCTAATTTCACATAATTAAAATATAAATAATATTTATATATATAAGTGCTATAAATATATATTTACTATAAATAACTTATAAATACAAGCTGAATTTTCCATCTTCATGCAAAAAACTGAGATTTCCATTTTTTTTTTGTTCATAAGTTTAATATTATTTAATATTAAAAACTTTTAACATGTTTTATGTGTGTTAAATACGTTCGCAATTATAAAATAATTTATGATAGGAAATGAAGTGAATTGCTTGCAAATTAAATAAGATATGACAGTATAAGATGAAATGAACTCACTTGGCACTTTTTAATTGGTGTGTTTGAATGATTGTTTCATATATTTATAAATTTCTGAGTCCAAATGATAATAATGTATTAAATAAAATTAGATTGTATTATACACGCACACATAGTCAAATAAGTATATATACAACAAGTATATATACAAATAAATAAATTCACTTTTTGTGTTTTTAATATTTTGAAACAAACTATAACATCATTTTCTCGCATATAGTATTTTTTCAATTATCTATAAAATAAAAGATTCTGTGTCTTGTTTGTGTGTTATCTAAGATACATATGTATCTAAGATACATAATAGGTTTTATACAATGTTTTCCTAAAGGAATACAAAACAAAACTTCACAAGATTCGACTCATTGTTTTTTAATGTAATGTTAGTGTTAATTATATGTTAATATAATGTAACATTAAGAAGATTAATTTATGAAAAAATTTGCTTGGCATGTATTTCTGATTAAATAATAAATACCATGTATGTAAACAGTGTGTACGGTTGAGTTGCAGATCAAATGTTTACTTTTTATCATTTGTCCTCGCATTTATAAAATTTTTTTTTGTTCTCAATTTTCAGAAGAAAGGTAATTTTAACACATGTAATATAAAATAAGAGCGGTATTCTATTTAATAACGACGATTTCAGCAGTAACACACATTTTTATATATTATACAAATTTTTTATCTACAAGTTACATCACAAGATGCAAAGCATTATATCCTAATTTATCTAATGATCCTTGAGCTTTTTCTTTTCCTCAGGATACGTTTCGTAATACCACTTCTCATATTCATCCTTCATTTGTTCACGACGCGCGAAGTACTTGGGATACTGAGCTTTTTCCATGGGATCCCAAAAATCTAGGACCCAATCTTCGGACTCGGTTGTTCGATTGTACGCTCCTCCTGTGATCGAATTTGCATATCGCGACGGTATAGGATGTTGTTTAAGGAAGACTTCTTTCTCCCCTTCTTCCAACAGATACTTCGCGTAACGTAAGTCCTTTATATCCTTGTTTTTATCGAATCGTTCTCTCAGCAGCACGGCTTGATATCTGCAGAATATTAAAAATTTGATTACGATACACGTTCCTGGCAAATCGCTTATGTATTACATCTCACTTCCATATGTAGTTCTTAGCTGTAAAAACAAAATCACACATCGAGCGCCGTCAGCTGACGTGTACCTCCACTCGGGTTGTTTGTGATACCAATCCCTCGTAGTGCGTAGAGCACGCTTGTACAGTCTGCACACTTTTTGCGCGTGCGATATAAGCTCCGAGGGAAGATGCGCCATCGATTTTAGTCGGAAAATATCACAATTCTTTTCCACAAAAATCTCCAAAGCAAAGGAGTCAGATGCGCGCAATTGCACGAACACGACGATCACTTAGCGAACAAGTTATCTAAGCAAACAAGTAGGTTTGGTTTTGTCGTGTTGCAACAACTATAGAGGGCTGTCGTACTCCGTTCCACTGGAAATCGTTAGCAACATCATTTGACTGACATCTTACGAAGGCAATCAAAAATTGTCCATCACGTAGCAGTTTTCTCATTGGCTGCTCGACGAAGTATTTTCCGAATCTTCAAAATTCTCTATCCAACAACCTATCAGCGTTCACGAAATCAGGTCGAGATTCTACAGGTAAAATGGCGCGTATGCAACCCCAATATTAGTCGCGATTTGCGACAATTTGTCACAGGCAGCAGACGGCGCGTTGTTGATTTACCGTTGATTCACGTTTGATCATCGTTGGATGTAAACGATTATTTATCGAGTCCTGAGACGAATTTTTGAATCATTGCAACGCTATCGAGCGATCATCAATACTTTCGGTCACTTTTCACAGCAGCGAGCGATTTTTTTTTTTTGCTTAACCTGCGAGGTACGATAATTCTCATTCGCGTCCGCTTGTTTGTTCGGCAAAATTATCACGTTTGATTATTGATAGACGACGTTGTAATGTCGTAATGACGCGTGCACATTAAAATTCGTTGTGATGCGAACGACAAATCTTGACACGTCCGGCTTTACCTTCGGCCGGGCGAACGACGGCGGGAAAACGATCGTGACATAAAAAACATTTTTAGCGCGACGTGTTGTGATTATTTTTAATGTTAACTTTTGTTGTTCGCAGGTATTTTGCGTGCGTCGATTATGTGCGACATACGCGAAATATTGACAATGCCGCCCGATTCCCAGCGGCTGATGGAGAGAATAATAGAGGCGATCAAGCAGCATCCGGTTCTGTATTGCAGTGAAGTAACTGGCTTCAGTGGCAAAATAAATTATCTCAGACAGAAAGTCTGGGAGCGTATCGCAAATGAACTCGGAGTAGAACGTATGTGAAAAAATTTGTGTTTGTGATGTTAGATTTTTATTTTTGTTATTTACACTTCGTTGTAGTTACTCTTGTTTTCCTTTTTTTGCTCCAATGATGAATATGTACACATTATTTATCTCTTAATTCCAAGCACAATTGCAAGCAGTAATCAACAGCGGTGAACAAACTCATGATTACATTGAATATTTTCTGCAGCAACATGGTTGAAACTGAAGTGGAACAACATTAAGGACACATATTCCCGCATCATAAAGCTCACTCTCTCCAAGACCGACGAAGAGAATGCAACAAGAAGAAAGTGGTATTTTGAAGATCACCTGAGCTTCTTGAAATTACCGTAAGAAAGTTTTTTTTTTTTTGGTAATGAGATTCAATTGTGTAAGCTCTTTTGCTCAAATAAGAACGCTTTGACAGGTTTGAACCAGACTATGTACCATTTTGTTTGGAGCTGAGTAAGGAATATATAGACGAAATATATTCAAATAAAACAACTCCTGAAGGTTTACTCGAACAGTTGGAAGATCCAACTGAGGAGGAATATAAAGATTATGAGGTTCTGGAAGAAACACCCGGTGAACAGGAAGAGGAAACTGAAACAATAGAGGTATTGGACAACAGTGAGGACCAGTTGATTAGTCAGAGTACGAAAACTCAGCATGAGCAGCAGATGCAACAAGATGCTGACAGTTATGTTCCACAGAAAAAGTCAAAGTATCAGAAGAAAAAACTTCCGAAAATGACATCGTCCATTCCTTATAAAAAGCCAAAGAATTCAATTCTTAAAACCGGCAATGATACAAGTTTAACAAACAATACTAATAACACAGCTTCTATTTTTATGGCAAATCAACTGCTGGCGAAGGAATTGAAGAAGGAATTTAAGAACAACAATAAAGACATTGAGATGAATCTTGAGCAAGTTTACGTGACTCCTGAGAACAAGAGTAGTATAGAACTGTTTTTCGAGAGCATGGCGCAGACGGTGAAGAAGTTACCGCCAAAAGCACAAGCGGATATCAAGTTAAATATTTGCAAGATCGTTACGGAAGCAGAAGTGGAATATGTAAATTCAGGTCAGAATGCAGCGAAGAACACTCAACACTTAGTGAAATCGTCCTCTGTGTTACCAAAAATGGTACTGATACCTTGCAACATGTTAGATAAGAAAGATAGTAAGAAGCAACAGTTCTAATTTCAAACGATCATTGCAGTGTATTTTGTTTCTTTTACATTTGCAAATGTATTTTTATTGTTTAGTGTGAAATTATAACTATTGTGTTGTGAATCACTGAATAGTTTGCCAAAAATATCAGGTACTTATTTTTATATTATTTAAGATAATTAAGACAGTACTGTATGCGCGGTCGGAAAAATCGGAACAATATGATGATGATCTCTCACCGTAAATCTTTTCCGTTCCGATTCTTCGATTTGCATTTGACCGCATTCTGACACTATCAAGATTTAGAAAAAACTGTTAAAAACTTAAGTAATGTAGTTAATTATCAAATGTGTTTATAGACAAACAGATAAATGTATGTATTTTTCCTAGCATTTTAATTTGTTTTTAGCGTATGTTATACGTAAGACATATAAAAAAAAGTTGCATCAAGAATTTTGCAAACTGTATTTTTGCTTGTTGCTTGTTTGGTGGCTGTGTGAATGTGTATGTATATACACACACACTAATATATATCTCAGATGGTCCAGTACTGCCTTAAAGTTATTTTCTCAAAAAAAAAAAACAATAGTCTGTAAACAATAATTATAGACAACTGTACTGTATTTAAGAATCTACAAATATAAAAAAAAAAAAACACTTCTCTCAAAATTACACATATATGTACATCTTGAAAAAATCTTATATTTTTGTAATAAAACATGTAAATATATTTTATAATGTAAGTATGTTTAAATAAAATTAAGACAATTTATAGATAAGAATATATACAAGAGCGTATGTTACTTACAGTGCACTGTGCAGATTTAAAAAAAAATTTGTTTTCTTCGAGACTGTCTCTGATAAAAACGCTGCTTTTATCGGCACGCACGTATGCCTCACGTGTCGCAATGTCTCGTTATCAGTGTAAATACAATTATTAAATGATTTTTTTGTGATAAACAATGATAACCATTTTTATTGTTTCAATCATATCATATTTTTCAACCGATAAATAGTCTAGGAGGCTAACAATCTTCGCAGTTCTCAGTGTTTGAGAGTTTTCGGCGTTTTGACTACTGTTTGACAACAATTCGTTACGCGCAGGAACATGCTCCGATATTTGACACGCAACAGAAAGCACGTTGATTTTTTTAAACAATGCACGACGATTCAATTTTTTAATTCCACTAGGAAACAGGTAATTTTGTCTCTGATATTTTTTTAATTAAAAAAGATCGCGCGCACGTTGGAGGTTAAATTTTTTCACAGCACGTGCAGTCTTTCCTTAGCAAAAGAGTCATTAAATTGAATTGCCAGTTTGTTTTGAATGATTTTTAATGCAATTTATATGACGCGTAACGTGATTGTGTATATTAAAATTTACAGAGCTCAAAGGCGGAAGACAACGATAAAAATGTGTCGAAATATAAAGAATTTGTGGATACCACCTCTCCTGGAAAAAAAATGATGAAAAGTATCAAGAAGGAGTGGGCGAACTTAAAAAACCTGATGTCATCCAACAAAGAGATTTCAGATTTTACAAAATTCTTCAACGAATCTGAAATAATTCCCGCCCAATGTGATGTACTTATTATTGGCGGTGGTGCGATAGGCAGTTCGGTAGCGTACTGGTTAAAGGAGAAGTTTCACAAAGAGGAATTCAGAATTGTTGTAGTCGAGAGAGATCCCACGGTAAGATGTTAATTCAGGTGTTAGTTCAAGGCTTATTTATAAGTCTCTTGAATACCAAATGAAAGAACTGTGTTTATTGATTATTTTAGTACGCCAAAGCTTCCACAACTCTTTCAGTGGGCGGCTTGCGCCAACAGTTCACTCTCGAAGAGAATATTGAAATGTCACTGTACGGCGCGGAGTTCATGAGAAATGTCAACGAACATTTGGGTATTCCGGGACAACCACCCATAGATTTGTGTTTCCACCCGTATGGTTATTTAATTCTGGCGAGTGAGGCAGGAGCAGAATCTTTAGTTAAAAGTTCGAAACTGCAAAATTCTCTGGGAGCCAAAAACATAGTTCTTACCGCGGAGAAGTTGAAGAAACGATTTCCCTGGTTAAATACTGACGGCATTGCAGCGGGATGTCTTGGTTTGGAAAAAGAAGGATGGTTTGATCCGTGGTCTCTTTTGTGTGCCTTCAAAAATAAGGCTAGCTATTTAGGAACCCAATATATCAATGGCGAAGTTGTGGCGTTTCAATACAAGGAGTTACCTGGGGCCTTCGATAAGAATATGAATCCATTAACAAAATTAAACAGGGCAGTTGTGAGTAATTTGAACAGAAATCATTTGGCTTGCTCATAAAGTTTTTTTATATAAACTTCCAGTTACGTGTGTGTAAACTTTTAACATAAACACGTGGTTCTCATCAGATTCAAATGAACGACGGCGAGATTAGGTCAATAGAATTTGCTATAGTTGTTATAGCCGCGGGCGCATTTAGTGGTCAAGTGGCCGAAATGGCTAATATTGGAACGGGTGAAGAAATATTGTCTGTACCTTTACCAGTGGAGCCCAGGTAATTTCATTGAAAAAGTATGTTATCTCTTGCTTTTTTTTTATTGTCACTTTTATTCGCATCTCCGTTTTGCAGAAAAAGATTTGTATATTGCTTCAATAGTCCTGACGGACCTGGTTTAAACACACCTATGACGATCGAACCCAGTGGATTGTATTTCAGGTACGAGTGATATATATAAATATACATATACATCTGTATAACAGATGATATAGTAATTGAAGGATAAGATTGGAAATGATTCCCATACAGGCGAGACGGTCTGGCAAACAATTACATTGCGGGAAAATCCCCAGAACATCACGAAGAACCGTCAATAGAAAATTTAGATGTCGATTACGAATACTTCGACAACACGGTGTGGCCTTTGCTAGCTCGTAGAGTATCAGCGTTTGAGGCTCTAAAGGTACATATATATATAGGTTTTTCTTCGTGCAAAGAGTAACTTGAGTGAACAAAATTTTTATAAAGTACGATTACATTGTATTCCAGATAAAATCCTCATGGGCTGGATATTACGAATACAACACTTTTGATGAAAACGGTATTATCGGTTTTCATCCTTACCATAAGCACTTGCTGTTCGCAACTGGTTTCAGCGGACACGGTATCCAGCAAGCACCCGCGGTTGGACGTGCGATAGCTGAATTGATTCTGCTCTCACGTTTCGCAACTATAGACTTATCTAGGTTAGGCTTCGAAAGATTTTTGAAGTCCGAGCCCATGAGAGAAATTAACATATATTAGATTTTGGAATAATTAGGAACAATAGAGAAAATAAACCTTTTGTGATTTTTTTGTATGTATTTACTGTATGTCAACATGATACAGAGGCACGTAATGTCTGTCAAGTACGTGTATTTATGTATTTTGTAAATATATGTATATGTATATATGTATATGTATATTTTTATTAAATGTGATAAGAATCCTAGTAAAAAATTTAGTTAATCTCTCCGATATAAACGTTTTCTTATCAACAATAATAATATGCAATACGACGACGTAATGATGCCATCATACAATACGGTTTATACATAACTTAACATTTTTTTAAAAGCCATGAATGCAGCAGCTTCTCTTTCGCCAACAATTTCTAATATGTTGCGAAGCTCGCTGAGAGAAGTATTGGTTTGTATCTACAAAGAAATTATTGACAGATTATATATGCAAATGGATTTCTCATATAAAATAAAACATTCGGCAAGAAAATAAGAATCTTACACCAATATAATTCAAAAGAAGCATCGACGGACTGATCGAGCTCTGTTCAATAGTTTTTCTTATAAAATCATCAAAGTTGAAATGCTGGACCAATTTTTTCCATCCTTCTGTCTTGTCCAATATGTTTGCTAACTGCACTTCTTGTTGCACATCCATCCAAACTTTTTCTGTATCATTTATATCTTCTTCTTTACATTGCACTTCTTCTTTTAAGAATGCATCACTTTCAGAAACGAGCTGCAAGATCTACAAAACACAAATTATAATGCTTGATTAACAAATGTGTACATTTTTAGTTATGTATTTTTTGTCGCAAAACGGTTTCAAAAATCGTTAAATATAGCAGAATAGATTGGAAGAACAGCAATTCCAAATATAAAAATTGCAAAATAAATAAAATCCAAATCAATAGTATAAAACGCAGTTTGCTTCGACGTACATCTGGTTTGTTGGATGCCAAGTCGAACGACGATTGTCCGCTATGTTCTTCTACATTTTTATAATCCAAATCCTCTTCTTCAATTTTTATTTTTGTTACTATATTCTCTTCGTCTTCTTCGACCTATGACAAAAATAAAACTTATTTAAATATAACGAAATCAAATTTTAATACGACTTGCATAAAAATAACTCATAAACAGAATAATCTCGTTGTTTATGATCGGTTTGATATTTTATATTAATATAAAATTCATTGAGCAATGCCTCCAAATCATTATCTTCAAATTTTTTCGGCTGGCCAGGTCGCTTCTTGTCATCCAAGTCGAGTTCACCATCTTTAAAACGTGCAAACCACTTCCGACACGTTTGCTCAGCTAGAGCATGTTTACCGTACACATCTACTAAAATACGATGAGCTTCAGCAGCACTTGTGTTCATATGAAAGTAATGAAGTAAAACTCCCCGCAAAAACACTTTGTTCGGCACAAATTTTGACATATTCAATATTCAATATTCAAATTATAAAAAGTGTTGTTATTTATGATTAAAAAAAAAGGTTATGAAAAGCAAATAACGTCCAATGCATATATGTAATACTCCTATATTGCTAGTACGGTGCCGACCTGAAGCTCACCGTTACGGTGCAGACAATATAGTAGCCTCTCTCTCCAGCTGCTTTGTGCGCATGCGGTGAACATAATGACGCTCGACCATCTATGCCCATATTTGGACTTCGTGCGTCTCCCTTTCTCGGGCCTTGTGCCTCTCATTGCGAAGATACGCGACTAGCAATATAGGAGTATTACATATATGGTCCAATGACAGCTGTTTCACGATGAATACATTACTGTAGGTAACAACGAAATACTGTACTACCTACGCCATCTCTTGTAAAACGCTATAAATTAATTCCAACACCTAATATTTTTAAACAATTGCATACATACGTTTGGTGCTTCCGGTTCGTGATGATAATTCTTTATATGTGGATCGGCACCGTGTTTCAGTAGAAGAGCACAGATTTGTTTAGCTTTCGATCCTGGCGTAACCACGGCAGTGTGCAACGCTGTGTTGCCGCTGAAGTTTCGCTTGTTCACGTCTATCTTGGTCTGTCGGAATCAAAAATTATTAATGTGTGCAATTTGATTTTTAAAAAAACAAAAATCACTCAACGATCATTTTGATCTCACGTTTTCCAATAGGAATTTCACTATGTCGTTGTGGCCACCTTCGACCGCCACGTGCAAAGCAGTTCTTCCGTAAGACATATCGGTACTGTTGACATCTGCGCCCGCTTTAACGAGAGCCTGCACTGCGTGAAACGAGCCCGCTTGAGCGGCTAACTGCAACGGTGTCCACCCTAAATCCGTGTTCGCTTCAATGTTAACTGTTCTTTCATTTAACAAAATATCGATGTTTGCTCTTGCTTCTGAACCTATAAAGTATCATATACAATCATGTAAATTTATATATTGCATAAGTGGAAATATTTAAATACTTCAAGCTTTTTTTTTTTTTTTAATAGTCTCGCATTAATACGTACACTTTACAGCTTTGTGTAGCGGCATTTGTCCACAATGATCTGCTACATTCGGATCAGCGCCAAGCATCAGTAACGCTTTCGTAATTTCCGGATGGATTTGCGTAACGGCATAATGCAACGGAGTCTGTCGTGCAATAATTATCAAATAAATATTTATTTTAATTATTAAACGAAATGTAAAAGAAACTTTACCTACCTTTCCAGAACTGTTTTGTATGTTTATCAATTCGGCAGCGTCTGACTTCAAAACGCTCATGAGCTTCAGGATATTCTTTGCGGTTTCTTTTTGTCCATATCTTAGGGCACAGTGTAGAGGCGTATCTCCGTAAGTTGTTCGGTCTTTGAATAAGTTGACTATAATATCTTTTGTTTTTCCTGATTTTTTCTGAATATCTCTTATTGCATTGCACAGAATCTTATTAGCAAATAGTTTATCGTCGTCCTGTAGAAATATCGAAAACGGAATAATATATATATATAATAAAGAACGCAATTTTAACTTTACATCGTACGTCTCTATACGTACCTCATAAATAACATTTGGTGTTTTACTGTGTGCTCCGTCACAAATTAGAGTTCCGCTTTGTTGTAAGCAGTCTGTATAGACTGGAAAAATTTATTTGTATTAGTTCTTTTTTTTTTTTACTGTAACTTTTTATATGTATGGAACTATAGAACTATTGTTCGCGCGTAATACTTACGTGGTAAGAACTCGTCTGAATTCATATTGTTCATAAACGCCCGAAACTCAGTAGAAGGACATTTTTCTTCTAACAACTCGAGCAAATCTTGAGATAAATTACTATTTTGTTCGCTGTTATTTGAAGACGTACTAGGTAGCGGTGCGTTTGTATTCGGTAATACCGCTTCTGAAGTAGTAGTCATCGACGGTGCATTCTGATTACTAATTGCCATCCGTGCCAATTCCTCACTATTTGAGTCAGAAACTCTCGTTCTCTTCCTACCTAAAATTACAAAAAGTTGTAAAAGGAATTGCACTTAAAACAGAAATGCAGGAGAAAGGCTAGCAGAGATAAAACAAAAAAAAAAAAAAAACCAAAAAAACCAAAAAAAACTATTAGTATCTTACCCATCATGCGGTCACTAGGTTTGTATACAAACTTGATTGCGTTCGAACACTGTGAATCCGAAGGACGTTCCAGTTGAATAAAGACGTCTTTCGGAGACGTGATCGTTAGATCTTTATAGGGTGGAGTTCTAAAAACGCAGCGTGATCAATCACGTGTATCACGTGAAAAAATAAAATAAAATAAAATAAAATAAAATAAAATAAAATAAAAAATAAAAAGTAAAGTAAAACATCAGTACACAAGATGTGCGCATTTACCGGAAAACCATAGCGTACTGATGATGAACATCAAGTTCTGAGAAACGAGCATAATCAGACCAAACTTCAACTCCACTTTCCTCATCCACTTCAAAAAATCTGATTTTTATATTTTCTACGTAACACATAAATATAAATTATTAGCATCGACATATCGCAATATAAATGTATAGCCAAGTTCAAAGCGATAGCTTAACAAATGTGCACTTACTTTTAGCGACTTTTTCTACAAATATGAACACTTCTTCCCCACCTTCGCAGCTGCTGGTGTATTTATCAATTCTACATATTTTTAATTCCCCAGTCAACGCGCTTTCTACATCACAGTATTAATATTACATCTTTTTAAATAAGTGTGTTATTATTTGTTAAATAATTAATAAAACATTTCAAAATACTTTAAATCTCAAAACTTTTTTATAATATCGCGACAAACTTACTCAGATTATTGATTGGGTGGCTGTAAACTGGTTGTGTGATCGGTCTCATGATGTCAAATTCATCTTTTATGAATGCTTGAAAACGGAGAGCTACGCTATTTAAGTTCATGATCCTCTGATAATGTTCCGCATTGATTTTAATCTACGTAAAAAAAAAAAATTAAAAAAATATCGTTCGAAGACTATATGATTTGAAGTTTTTTATAAACACATTTTTAATAACATAATCTCACAGAGAGTTTCTCACAGAGAGAAGATAAGATTGTGATGTCAAAAACTCACTTTTGCTTCATCACACAAGTTGAGAGAAGCGTTTTTGTTAAGCCGTCTACGTTCTTCCAACTGCTCCGCACACAACTTCCGAACTATTTCGTCTTTAATGTGTTTTCTCGCAGTGTGTATTATGCCCATGTTTGTGAATCTGAAGCAGATCTAGTATTGATGTAACCGTGCCAATAATCCGATTGAAGAAGAAAACTGAGCTACATGCTCGAAATGCTAGTGGTAAGAAAAAAAAATAAATAAACGTACTCGGCTCTATGGTTATCGTGTCGCGAAACTTTTACTTCGTGTGGATCGTCAACATCTTCGTTATTTTCTCGTCTCACTAATCTGTGAGCATGTATCATTCTGTTGTAATCATCAGACGTAGCTAATGTACATCGTATTATTGCGTTATCCGCAAAATTACATAACTGGAAATACAAATAAACATTGTAACAATATTGTGCCATACGGGGAATGGTCTGGCGCGTTTGATTATGAATATATTTACCTGCACTGTAGGCACACACTTGTTTCGTCTACCTGTCAGAGACGAAACACCCGTCAGGCTTCCATGTGTTCCTACCATCTCGGATTTATATCGGAATCTGAACTTTTCTATTGGCTGTACCAAAATCTTAATGTACGGTTCGCCAAGTACTAGGTGCAAGAAAAAAGTTATAATAAAAACAAAGATGCAATTTTTGTTATTAACATAGCAGAGCAAACATTTGAATAATTTGTATGTTTATACAGCTGAGTTGAATGTGAACATATACCTGGGGTACTGTTTAAATTAGTAAAATAATCATCTGGAGAAAAGTATTCTGGTGACAGAGATGTTGATGGAGATGAAGCGCTCATATTTCCTTGAGATCCGCTAAATGGGCTTAGGGTATTCATATTAAATACATCTGGAAAATTTCAGAAAAATGTCAAACATATTATTCCACAAGATAAAACAAATTACAAATTCTTTTTTCTATATTTATGTAAAAATTCCTTCTCACTTATAATTAGTATTTTTAATTACATTTGTATTAGTATTTTTTAGTCACATATCTCTTATCTCTTCTTTATATAAAAATCTAGATAAGTGATGAGTAAAATATCTTATAAATAGTTATCAGAAAAATATTAGCAGCTTGCAACGCGTTAACAATCTATTAAACTCCTTTACAAACATTCTTTATGCGATTTGAAATTTACTTTTGTCAATAAACTGAAGCAACTAACTTTCTTTTTTTAAATTACGCGCTACGACAAAAGACAAAGAACGTGATGATGAGCACACTGTGCAATACAAAACAAGTTTGTACGAACATATTAATAACAATCGATCGTCGCGTGTATTGTACAAATCTATATATGCAAATCTCCGCCGTGAGCGCGATTCGTTGGAAACGAAAACGCGCACGCGGCGTCGAGATGGTGCGTCAAAAAGCGCATTACCGTTAGACGGGAGGTACGGATCCTCGTTATCCGCGATATCGCTGGCTGTCAGCATGCTTCGCATCGCCATGTTAAAGTTCTCGTACGCATCTGGCATTTCTGGCGATCTCTTTCGTAAACAAAAAAAAAAAACAAAAACAATTAAATACACACACGTACAATAAATGTGTCGGGATGTGTCGTGAAGGTGTTTCACTCAAGCACCCCGAAGTCTCGTGATAGCACCGCACGAACGTATCTTTTTAACAGCGTCGTCAGGACAACACTACGCGCGTGCTACACGCATTACTACTCACCAAACGCACATTTAATCAACTGTCTTTACATGTTTAAATGCGTCAACTTGCATAACCTTGAAGTAATCGGTTCTTCCCCAAGCAGATATATATGTGCTGGCCAATCAGTACGGTCTGTCTGGGTTTCCCACCGCGGACAGAGATGTGTCTACGCTGCGCGATGCCCCTGGCAAAAAAAAAAAACGCGTTCCCTTTCGTTCTTTCTTCAGAAATCTTAAAGTTTTCTCTTTTCCTCAAGAGAGCACGTTTCTCTGTCGCATGTTATACAAAGAATTTGTTGTAAAGATCAAAGAAATGATCAGGCACACGTTAAAAATTTTACATAATCAGTAAAAAAGATGACAAAAATTTATTGGAAGGCGAAGAGTTTTGATTATCTGTGTGCTGGGGAAGATGGATATTGCAGGAACTTATTCTTAGGGAAATTTGCCGCGTTTTTCAAGTTTTCGTAATCGGGGATCCGCCATTTATATCGAAACTGAGTGAAAATTATGTAGAGAGTATGAGTCGAGAGCAAATTGTTTTCATCTTTTCGTAATTAATTAGTTTTTCGATAACATATTGACATCATTATATATACGTACCTCGAATACCTTTTCTCACCCAATTAAATTGATTTCCGTGAAAATTAATCGAGCAAAGTGATCTAAGACACACTACTTGATGGGAGATACGTTATGTTATGTCCCTCATCGTAGAACGAGTCTGTCAATATATGTTACGATATCCCTAAAACAAAATATTATTCGATAAACTCGAGATAAATTAGTTGAGATAATTTATTAATTTATCAAGATAACACACAAGTAGTTTTCATATTTTTATAAGACTCCTGATACTCGGCTATAAATTTTATCACAATTGGAAAATTACTGAGAAATTTATATGTAATTAATTCTTGTTGTGCAATTTACGTTAAAATAAATTTTTTGTTTTTTATTTCTTCGCTTTTGATGTCATAATTTAAGAGGACCAAGTGAATGTAAAGAATCTCAATTGAAGAATCTCATAATTTAATCAATCAAAACAAATCAAAATGTGTACATAGAAATATCACGCGCTAAATTAAACATATCTTTGCGCTTTAAACAATTTATTAAATAATACAATCTATGTTTTAGTCTCTTTGAAACAGATTATTGACTAATTTTAATCTCGGTTGTCGCGCTCGTTGCGGCGTAACGCAATGTTCTAACATATAAATGACACATACATGCGAGAGAGATAAATTATATTGTTGACGAATGTTTATGTGATAGCGCCTCTTGTGAAAACGCGATTAGGAGGGAGAGAGAGCTGAGAAACTGATAATATGCGAAAGTGTATATATATCGTCACCTTCGCCGATCACGTTTATGGATGGTAAGTTCCACTTGTTACGCTGCTCCCAGAAACACCTAGCAAACGTCCGAACAATCCAAACGAACCGATCATGTCAACTAAGAACGAAAAAATTGGAATTATTGGCAGGTTAGTGATGATCTCTATTTGTAATTTAATTACACAAGTTGCAAGTTTTATATAATTAAGTCATTCTGCTCAATCATCGATGCGCGCGACTAATATATCGATTGTAACTGGAGCACTTGTGTGTCTTCATTCTTATGAATTTTTATTATTTCATAATGAAATGTTATCAGTAAAACCGGTATCTTTGTTAAGTCGGTAAGAAAATTGTCACTCAACTGTACTATGATACTGTTTTTTTATTATAAAGAATTTTAGATTTTCCCTCATATACGTTACTTTTTATCATTTGAGTATATATGTTTAAACAAATAAAAATAAATTCGTTAATATTAAAAAAAAATCTTCCTTTCACTGCGTTACGTCAAATTACTCATACGTCTTTTACGTAATAATGAGGCAGTTTTCTTGACAACTGTAAAACTGACCTTCACGGGAGCCCGTTAGATTAGAGAGGAAATTGCGATACACGTTTCTTTCGTCGCAAATTTTTTATTTCGATTTATTGATTGTAGATATCGTCAAATGGCGCTTTATCGTTTACTGATAATAGATTTTTTCAGCTAGATTGTTTTAGAGAGATTTTACCGAGAAGGGTTTAAATTACATAAATTTTCTCGAATACTCGTACTGATGTAAGCTCGACTTGCTTCGATAAGATAACGCGCAAAGGCGTGAAAAGTTTCTTGCGATTACTAAATCATAGTGATGCATGTTTTTAACAGGCACCCGTGAAAGAGAGATAAATCACATATAACCGAGATTGAAATATCATTGGGTTGTACCTGTTTCTTGGAAGAGTAAGGAAGAGATTGCTAGTATTTCTAACACACGGTTATCTCAATTTCAGCGGTTTAATCGGACGAAGCTGGGCGATGCTTTTCGCCAGCGTGGGATATCAGGTGACTATTTACGACATAGTCCAGGACCAAATTAAGAACGCATTGGAGGACATCCGTCAGCAGTTGAAACGCCTCGAAGCTGACGGTCTTCTTCGAGGCTCGCTGAAGGCGGACCAACAATTTCAACTGATAAAAGGTCCGCCCGCTCGTTTCTCCTCTTCTTGACTTATTACAGTAATAAAAAACTTTATGAAATTTAATTGATGATGATTCAATTTTTAGGGTCGTCCGATTTAGCAGAGAGCGTGAAAGGGGCCAAGTTGGTACAGGAATGTGTACCAGAAAATCTGTCGCTGAAGCTGAAGCTTTACGCTGATCTCGACAAGGTCGTCGACGACAAAGTGATCTTGTCCTCGTCGACGTCCACGTTCCGTCCGTCTCTCTTCAGCGAGAAACTTAAACACCGCGACCAGATCATAGTCTCCCATCCCGTACGTGTTTTTCTTTATTGGAACGCGCGTCATCAGAAGAAAAGTATTTTATATTATCTGGGAATGTTGAAAATTTAATTATTAAACAAATGTATATTACAAACGCAGGTAAATCCTCCTTACTACGTACCGCTTGTGGAAATAGTCCCAGCTCCGTGGACACGTCCCGATATTCCCGAGAAGACGAAAGCTATCATGACCGAGATCGGTCAGAAGCCTGTTGTCTTCAGCAGAGAGATCGACGGTTTCGCACTCAACAGGATACAGTACGTAGTTCTAGTGTTAACTATTTGCAAGATCGTCCTTTAGACGAATTGTTAGTTCGGTCTATCTCTTTCGCAATACTTGGCGTATCTGAAAGAATCTATATCGACAGGTACGCGATCTTAAACGAAGCTTGGAGACTTGTAGCCGATGGAGTGCTGAGCGCGAAAGACGTCGACGCCGTGATGAGCGAAGGTCTTGGAATGCGCTACGCTTTTCTCGGTGCCTTTGAGGCCGCGCATTTGAACGCCGAAGGTATTCTAAGCGTCGTAAAAAGACTTATTTCCAAGTTATTGGAAAATAAGTTTTTCCACAAAAATAATGCAATTCATGTTGCGATAATTTTTTTCGTAGGAATGAAGAAGTATTGTGAGACGTATAACAAGTCGATTTACGACGTGAGCATGACCTTCGGACCAACGCCGAAATTTGTAGGCGAAATGGCAGAGAAGATTAGCAACGAGTTGAACGAGATGTGTCCGCTCGACAAGTTGCAAGAACGACGAGCGTGGCGAGACACCGCCTTGACGAAGTTGTCTATACTCAAGAAAGAATTAGAGCAGATAAAAAAGTAAACGTGAATATTTCGCACACCAATCTTTTGCGAAGGTCTTTTTTAAATTCATTGCATAGAGAGAACAATTTTAAATTTTGCGTGACGCGATCTCGTTCTGAACATTGGTTTTAGGAAAAAGATAAAATGTTATTTGGAACTTAGGAGTTGGATGCGATTTGTACACACTTGTACATACAATACGCATTTGTATATACAACACAGTTACACGTTGTTTGTTTGTGAAATATAAAAAAAATTCAAGCGCTATGAGAATTATTTTACTTTATTTCTATAGTTACAGAATCAACGTTTTCCTCCCACGCGAGGCGCAGACTTTTGCGTCACCTTGGCGACTTTCTGTTTTGATACTTGTTTCGCTTTCGGTGCGGCAACCGCTTTTTTCGTTGCCTTCAACGCTCTTTTCTGTTCCTTCGCGGCTCTGAAACAAAAACACAATCGCGGAGATTGAGCAACGTCATTTATTTCACAACATTGCACAAGATGTTGTAGATGTTGTTGAATGTATGAACCCGCAAAACCAGACAGTGCAATTAAAGATGCAATTCCGGGTGAAGTAGTTCACTTTTATTCTAAGATATTCTGAAATTTGACGCAGCATGAAAGGCTTCATCAAAGGAACAGATATCTATCGCGTGTGCTTTATCTCCAAACAAAAATGTATTTTAACCATATAATAACTAGCATAGTTATTCATAGTGATCTTTCTAGAAATTATATCATTTCTTCAATATTGATAATTGGATAAAACTGAAGGAAGTTACATACTTGATGGCTTGTTCTCTCTGAGCCTTGCGAATTTCTGGCTTCATATTACGTTTGGCCAAGATATCTGTGAGAGAAGCGCCAACGATAGCACGCTGGAATTTCTGAGTACGCCTCGTCCTCTTCTTGGTCTGTTCTTCTTCCTGACCTTTCTTGTGCTTTCGCCTGAGAAACAAAATCAGGTTTCATCAATACAGTCAAAACACGGGATATGTTACATTTATCAAAACAAAAAAAAAGATATATTTGTACCTGTACAAAACGGTCCATGTCACCTTTCTTGGATTGCGTCTCATCAAATGTGCCGACTCGCACTTCGAGTTGAGGAAAGTGAAAGTCTGAGGAGCGAACGAGAGGTTACATTAAACATGTCAGCGACAGGTGGCAAAATCACATCGTGGTTTAAAAAAAAAACAAAAAAAGTTATAATAAAAACAATTAATCGAAGTAATAGTTAACAGATTACTTCACGATTTGTGTTTCGAACAGCACTCACCTTTCCGTCAACCTTAACCATGGTCTTGCCATGGCCCGGATATATTTTGTATCCGCTGTACGCGCACAAACCGATCCTGCGAAAAGATTAAATACATATCAATTGCAGCCATTACGTGCACACGATGCGCCACATTCCAGCCGTAAATAAAGCGGGATTGCGTTGTGAAAATCGGATGTCTCCGCGTGAAAAATTCGGACTTACTTCATCTTGACGCAACGCGACGAAAAACGGCAGATAAAAATGGCCGACGCTCCCGTGTTTCGATGTTATGATAGTGCGCGCACTTTGGGAGAACTATTGCAGGGGACACTGACGTCGTCGAAATAATCTTAAAAAGATTTTGCACACGCTGATTGGTTACCGGAAACAAATTCCCTATCGAATAGCCAATCACATTTTTGTCAATTGACGAATCGCATTGCGACATGCGTTTGTGACTGGCCGGTGGCCAGTGACAGCTGGAATCATTGTTAGATTCGTCGCGCATGCGCGAAAAAAGCGTCCCATTTAGCAACACTGGTTTACCGGCGTAAAGTCAGTTCAGAAAAATAATCTATAGATATGTGTGTAGGGCATATAGAGAGAATTTGTGCAATTCCGTAACCTCTACGTTCTAAACATTGGTAGATGTTTAAGTTTTAAGTAAGATTTGTTATCTCTCTCTCTTTGAAATTGATTGAAATACTAAGACTGACTAATTTCCTTGTTTCTTTGCAGCATATTATATCACGACGGCATATTTAGTAGAAAGCTCGTTTTATATTTGGTTTGTTAGAATACAATGGTGATGGAAGAACAGGAAACGGACATGGAACTGGCCTCAGAAAGTATACCGGTTCCCCAAGTGCAAGAACCGCAACTTGATCCGATCAAACGACCCAAAAGGTCGAATCGCTCGAATCAACCGAGAACGAGAAAAAAGTTGCTCTATGCCTCGATACGCAAACTGATGGAATTTTACTTTAGCGATGCTAATCTGAGTAAAGATCGGTATTTGTCAGCACGTATAAAAGAAAATCCCTGTAAGTGTGTTTTTTTTTTCTAATTAATATCTACTTAAATTCTACTCAAAAGTGATGAGTCTAATAAAAATTCTTAATCTACTGATTTAATGTTAATTGCGATTGTATTATCATTTCTTAGATGTGGATATATCTACATTTACAAGATTCAACAAACTGAATCAGTTAACCACAGACCCAAATAGAATAGCCAGAGCTTTGAGAGACTCAACTATATTAAAACTATCTGAAGATGGTAAAAAGGTCTGTCGTACAACACCAATTAAAAGGAAGGAAGATGAAGAACAATGTACAGTTTATGTACAAAATCTACCTCCTGATACTGATCATGATTGGCTGATATCTCTATTTTCCAAGTATGGTACCGTGGAATATGTCTCAATTCCTCGCTACAAGTACAACAGGGCTATAAAGGGATTTGCTTTTGTGGAATTTGATACACCCAGTAGCGCTCAAGAATGTATTGAGGTAAGAAAAATAAATGAGACGATATAGAAAAGAGATTTGTAATAAAATATCGTGTGTGTAATTTATATATATCGATAAAATGTTGATTTGCAGCATTTCCAAAAGAAAGGACGTGTTTTACCGTCACATACAGCTCCTACTGATTTATTAAGTATCACTACATTTGATGACAATCAAAAAGATAATTCAGAAGCCAATATGGAAACTGACGACAAGAATAGCAAAAAAAGTTTAAAAAGGAGAAAAAGTTTATCGGAAAAATCGTCTTTTGTAGATGAGAACGGCATTAAATCGAAGAAAAAAAGAAAGGAAATTACAGAACAGGATACAGCGGATCAGCATGATGAAATGGAAAATCCGCTAAAAATTCAAACGGAAGATGATGAGTGCGACGATCGTATTACCGAAGACAGTAATACAGAAAATCAAAATATTTCTGATGAAAAAGTAGATACGAATAAAAAGAATCTCAAGAAAAAGAAACACTCTTCCAAGAGCATAGGTGAAAGTGACGTCAAAGATACCGAAAACTGTAACGTGGAAAATCAAGATAGTTCTGAGGAGAAAACGGATACTGTAGATAATAACAGAGAGAGAAAAAGAAGACATTCTCCAGAAAACACAGAGGAAAGCGACGTCAAAGATGATGTTGCTACAAATTTTAATACAGACAATCAAGATATTGGTGAGAAAAACCCAGATACGATAGATAGTGTAAAATATCCGAAAAAAAAGTATCGATCTTCAAGAAGTACAGACGAAAACAAGTTTAAAAACAACATTAAAGAAATTAGAAACACAGAAAATCAAGATATCTTCGAGAAGAAAACAAATATTGTAGATAATAGTCTGGAAGATAACGAGAGAAGACAATCTCCGGAAAAAGAAAATGACGTGAAAGGTGATGTTGAAGATACCAACGAAGAAGATCAAGATGTTTCGACGAAAAACATGAATATTGTAAATAACAGTCTGAGAGAAAGAAAAAGAAGATTCTGTCTGGAAAATACAGAGAAAATCGACGTCAAAGACGATATTACTGAAAATTGTAATACAGAAAGTCAAGATACTTGTAAGAAAAGCCCGGATACGGTGGATAGTGGAAAAAGTTCGAGAAAAAAGAAACGTTTGTCAAAAAGCATAGACGAAACCGAGTTCAAAGACAACAGTAGCGAAAACATGGAAAATTGTAATATAGAAAATCAAGAAATTTTGAATAAAAATCGCGCCAAAAGTGGAGAAAAGAAAAAGAAAAGAGTCTCGATAAACAATTCGATAGAAACTAGTACCGGAGAAACGGTAAAAATAGATTCTCATGGTAGACATTCCAGAACAAGTAGCGATATAGAAGAAAAAGAAATTAAGGTTGATTCGAAGAAGAAGAAGAAGAAGAAGAAGAAGAAGAACAAAAGCGAGGAAGATGATATCTGCAACCTGTTGGGATTGCAGGTAATGGCGAAACCAGATTGGAAGCGTCTTAGAAACAAGTACTTGGATTTGCAAAGAAGTAAAATGTCGCTGCTAAAGCAGCACTTGAGAAAAACTGAGATGGAAAGGGGAGAAATCATGACAAAGAAGAAATGGAACAATGACAAAACCGAACAAGATTACGACAGATTAAGAGAAGAAAAAAATAATGAGATGGAAGTTACGGACGTGGAAGAGTCGTCTTACGGACGCGTTATTTATGCGCCAGGAATTATAGTGAAAATTGAAATGGACGAACCTTGCACAGATCCGCAGAGGTTTAAGGTATATATTTGTAATATTTGTTAAAACAGCTTTTTTTATGCTTATTAACATTTAAGTAAAATTATATTACACAAATGCGACATACTTATGTATTTTTTTTTTTTTCAGATGGAATTAAAAGATAACGATTCAATAAAATATATAGATATAGCAGAAAATTCCTGCGAAGCTTACGTCAGATGTGATACACCGGAAGCTGCCCAATTTCTCGTGCAAAAAAATTATGAAGGAAAACGTTTAACAGTTTTAAAAGGTAAACAATTTATCTCTTATGTGTATATTATAATTATTAATGTATTTATTACTATATACGTGATTGTTTTTCAGACGATGAAGAGAAAGCGTATTGGGACAAAATAGCACAAGATCGGAAAGACAAGCTGAATAATAAACGTAGAGTCAAGCAAAGAGGGCGTCAAAAATTGTTGAAAAAAGCAGAAAAACAACTAGGACAATGTATAAAATTCGATCAAGATTAATTTTTAATTTATTTAAAAATTTATTAAATGAATTGATTCATTCATGCGTTAACATGGTACATTTTTACATTTACATGCTTTGCGCACCTATGTATATTGGTAAAACAAATGTACAATGTTCAGTTCTTTGTATGGTACATGATATATACGCATTATATTTGAATTATTTTAAATAATAATTTTCTACCATCTGCCTCCTCCACGACCTCCGCCTGAACTATTGCGATTAAATCCGCCACCTCCTCCACCGCCGCCTCGACCTCTAAATCCTCCTCCTCCTCCTCCACCACCAAAACCGCCACTTCTGTTACCAAAACCTCCTCCTCTTCCTCCAAAGGATCCTCTATTGCCACCTCTGCCACCTCTACCACCACCACCTCCTCCTCCTCTTCCTCCACCACCTCTTTTCATAACACGACCAGGAGTACTTTGTTTTTCTCCAGGAGGCCTTGGCAAAAACCTAGCAAGTGGCAGCAGTTTTGCTGGATCAATGTATAACTGCAATGATCAAGTGTTAACAATGTACACATGTATAAAACTTTTATATAGACAGTTTTACTATTTTATCATATTGTGTATACAATACCTGAGTGTTTTTCTCAAAACTAGAGGCTTTTAGATTTTCTCCTAACTTAACGGACACGTAATAATCACGAATATTGCCAAATATCTCATCTATTTTTCCAATTTGATGTTTGTTTTCTGTGTAGATTGGTGCGTTAAAATAGGGTACTTGTTCGATGTTCACTTTAATAACAAGATCGTCCTCTACAATCCATGAGAAGTGTCCTAAAGGTGTGACTGTTTCTGGAGGACCTTGATCGTATCTGTAATTCAAAGACACATGTCATGTTGTGATTCAAACTTGGGACCTTCGAGTTTGCAGTCCTTGAGCTAAAGCCACAAGACCACCGAGCCGGTCTTGTTACAGACATACTCTAACCTAAGCCTAAGCTAACCTAAACCTAAACCTAACCTAAACTTTTAGCATATGTGGAATTTTGCAATGAAATATTTATTAATGTTGATAAACTAACCCTCTGTGTTTGTCGAAGCCACCTCGTCCTCCTCTGTTAAATCCACCACGGCCTCCTCGAAAACCACCGCCTCCTCTACCACCGCCGCGTCCACGGAAAGACATAACCTCACTTACAGATTGACTCTACGTCAACAATCAAGAGTTTAAGATTACCGTATTATAGGTAAAAATATATATTTTATAAACTGTTGCCAACTTTTATACACATTCTCGATTATTTTACTTACTCTTTTACGTTAAAAAAAACTAAAAATTAAACGTATTTCTCTCAAGTATATTCGCTGGCAACAGAGCCGCAAATCACGAGAGAACACGCCACGTGCGTTGTGACTGTCGCGTTCGTTTAAATTGGTTGTGTTTTACACCGTAGAGTAGTGTAGAGTGTAAACTGTGAGTGTAATGTAGTGTATGTGTGGAGAGGGAATTACGTGCACGCACGTAATATATTTCGAGATTTAGGTTAAATTGTGGTAGAATCTCAAATTAATTTACACAAATTATTTATTTGATTTTATAAGTTTTATTTGCAAACAACCATATAGTTTCGTAAATAAAATACATAAATTTTAAAAAATTGTTTTTTATAGCTATTTTGTGTTAAATTTTTTATAGGAACCGCTTGATCGATTAGCAAATACAAATGTTGGCGGATTAGCAGCGAATCTGCTACCTTTTTAACAACATTTTTTTGATAAAATTTGTTATTACGATGTCACGTTGAAGTAATCCTCTACACTTATATATTTCGGTCCACCGAAGGCGTCGAGCAAAGCAATCGTTGATATCTTCAACTTGGCGAAAAAGAATTTATGATCTGTTCAGACATAAATAAGTACAAATGTGAGTTGATTAAAATATTTATTTGGCTTTTTTAAATCTAGTACTCCGAAAAAAATCCGAGACTTACCGGCGGGCATATTTGATAATTTTGGATGGCGATTGAAGAACAATTGTTTTGCAGTTTCGTGCTCGTCGGTTCCGCTCTTCACCTGTTGTTAAAATAAAACAACGAAAACAAAATTTTAATGGTGATTAATACAAAGAAAAAAAAGATTATAACGCGCGATAGAAATATTTAATAGTTTAACTAACGGGTGTAACTTTTCCAGTTAACATAATCCTAGCGCAACGCGGATCCATCGGGTCCATGTCTTTGGACTTGCAATAGCTTCCCTGTGCCAGCGACATCAAGAGGGTAGCGCGATGATCTTTCTGCAAGAGAGACAAAGTGCGATGTATGCGAGAAAAAGGATTCGCTTATGTTGATATAAAAAAGTTTTCGTACAACATTTTTATTTTGTTACTATCGCGTCTCAGCAAGAGATATTCTGATGAAAATATGTAAGATTTTTGCGTGTCATCTTATTGTATATCACATATCCGTCACGTCAGAGCTAGATAATGATACAGTTATCGTATTAAGTAATTTATATTCCGTTTCGCAAAATGTTTGAATATCGCGTGATACAGCCGACTGCTGATCAGTATCAATTATTGACGTGCAGTGATACGCACCGATACCAAATTGCGTGCGATAAAACGATATCTTTAAACTTACAGCAAGATCTTGCGCGGTAAAGTCAAGAGGAGTAAGATACATGTAAGGTATGCCAGTTCCACTTCCGAGAGGTCCGTCGCTGATCGAAATCAAAGTCGCAGTAGGAAACGTTGCGATGTCCTTACGCGTGCTTATAGTCGCTATTGCAGCCCACTCTGCCAATACGCAAATTTTTATGTAGATTTATTTTGCAACATGTACACTCTCTCTCTTTCTCTCTAATTTGAACAAATGCAAATTTATTACAATAATTATGCGACAATTATTTGCAATAACTTTACATTCAAATAAGAAAGAGTTTAAAATCTTTTAACTTCTTATTAAGAATCGAACAAAAAGATCACGTATCGCGATTCTGTCCGTCATTTGATAGCTTTCCAATATCTCAAAATTATCACTGACTACATGTATATGTTACTTGATACTACTATACATTAATACAATATACGTAGAAAAGTTTTAGTTTGTTTTGTAAATACAAACAATAAGATACGGACAAAGGTTGTTCGCAACAACTGATCTTGCTTTTTGTTGTTTATATTTGCAACATATATATGACAATAGCAGATCGTGTGTAATTATAGTTTTCTTCTAAATTTAATTTTAGGCCGGGTAAGCTTGCCAATTAAGGCGATAATATAATGTTTGTCAATTATTAAGATAATTTATTTAAATTTAAATTAGTGCGTAAGAGCCGTAAGCAGTAAGTTTCTTTTTAATTACATATACAATGATAAATTTATTCTTTGTAATTTTCTTTTAATTAATTTAAAACAGTACTTAAACTGCGGTGAATACATTAGTTAGTTATATTAATCTATAATGTAAAAGAAAGTGAATACCGCTCACTTACCCGCTTGATTAACGACGTATCTTGCCATCGCCGCCGCGGCAGCAGGTGGCGGTGGATTCGGATCATCGTCATTAGAATTGATACTGAACCAACGCGGTGAGAACTTGACGCCGCTGATCTGTTGGTCCCTTTTTGTTCTCTTCCATTCGACGAATTCCTCGAATTCTTGCCAGCGCGCATACCTCTCGTTTGTGATGCGCGCCTCGCTAATCAGAACGCACAGAACAAGAACGTTGACAATTCGCAACAACATCGTAAACGAAGAAAGAATGATCAGCGCGTGTTCTTTGTAACAGACAATGAAGCGGACTACTCAGCAATATTTTATGCGACGACGTTAGTGAAGCCAAGCGGCTGTTTATTACTTGTTGCGCGCGCGCTTTACGAAGTTCTTTGGATTTAAAACCGCGCGTGACAATGATTGCAAAATTTGACGCGACGGGTATTTAATATACAGACAAAAATCTCGCGCGCACGCGTGTTTCCGATGTTTACCAATTCACGAGTGTGTTCAACACACAGATGGGGACATATCTTTTGAATAGCGATAACAAAGAAAGTGCGCGCACACATCGCGTACAAAGTGCAAAATGTTAAAAAAATCAGGTTTTATTGCGCAGAAGAGACACGTACGTCGATAAATGTCGACAATTCGCTTTGTGTGACGAGTATATAAAATCGTTAAAATAGAAAAATAGAAAAAATGTATACGTGGAATAGAAATTACAATGTTTCTCGTAACTGGACACGCGAGCATTGTACTTCTGATCAGCGCAGATTAAATGCAATCTAAGGAGAGATAAGATTGCGTTATCTAAAAAAATCAAATCCACAAATTGTATTCAATCATTATAATAGTTTCTTATCGAAATTCGCTGCTTGTTTGAGAAAAAAAAAATAAATAAAAACATCAAACGAATCGTCGGTTTCATGAAATTTTTAGAATCTGTTTCTCTTGTAGCGTTCGGTTGTGGCGCAAGGTCGAAGAAACTGGTACGCCGATGATCCGCTGAGGTTCCTCCGTTCTTCGATGTGGGTCGTCGTCTAACTGTTCTACGTACCGTTTCTCCGCCCCTGACTCTGTATCTTTTTAACAGCAGCAGCGCGCCGGACTCCTACACGATGATGTTTATAACTCTGCGCTATATATATGTATATATATATATATGTATATATATACTTATGTATATATACATGTTACATCGTACGGTAACGCTAGCGGCAACGCGATCACAAGAAAGCTCGAGAGCGTTTTATATGCCCCATCTATACGCCTTCTTCCTCGGAGATCTTCCTCGTGCTGCTCCTGAAAATCAGTCAACCGATTATCGTCGAAAATATAAGCGAAAAAAAAATGAACGTTCCTCATCACGATGATTGTTATTATTACGCACATTAACATTTATCTGATAAATTCGATTTCCAAATTAATCATGTCACCGCACACTTGTATCTAATTACTCAAAGTCTTTCTTAATTCTCTTGTTTTTTCTGTTGTTTGATTTATTTCGTGTAAACTTTCAGAGATAAGCCGCGTTATATAAAAGCGAACGAGTGAACATTTTGCATTTTATATTCTTGCAAACAACATCGACACAATTTTTTTTTATTTTTTTGCGAATACTTACTATATATCACAATGTAATTTAAATGTTTAAAAAATTTTTGAAACTTCCAGAAGACGATCAATCAACTAATCATAAGACCAACGAAATGACAGATTTAAATAAAATTTTAGATAAATAAAATTCAAATAAATTTTTTGCGTGATTTCACATTCGACGTTTGCGTCATTGCCCGATACCCTACGGAGTTCTCCCATGAGAAATTCTTTTACGATATCCTTTGAACTTTTGATCAACGATAACTTGGCTACAATTTATTTATTTGTGCTCTCTCTCTCTCTCTCTTTCTCTCTCTTTCTCTCGTTGGAGAGAGGACTTAAATCTTGAGCCAAAACATTTATTTTCAATATTTTAAATAAATAAATTCTTCGCACGCGCCAATGCAACCGCATTGGCTCTTAATTGCCATTTACCTGATTATTTTAAGTATCCTGTTCGATGCTCATGCCGGCCTTACCTGTCTCTTCGTAATCATCCACTTCCTTGTTTGTTCCTCACGGACGGCTACGGTTCTCCTACTCTTGAGGTCATTTGGAGCGAAGTGTGTTTCCTCCACCGTGTGTTCCACCTCTTCGTCCTCTACTTACCGTCCTAACGACAAGGCTGTTCAGTCGTTACACGACCTTCTTCCAGGGTTACGAGCCCGCGAGCTTTTCCTGGCTTTTTCGTCCTCGATGTGCTGACTGCGTTGCTGTGAGAAAACGAAAAGCGATTCCTTTAAAACGCGATTGTGAAGTTTTCAATTCAAAAAAACAAAATAAAATCGTGCATCGATGGATCAGTGAATGATAAATCACCAGAAAAGAGGATCGTGATTATACTCTCGGGTTCATTATCTTCATCACGCAATCAAGGTATAACAAAAAATAACTTATCATCATCGCGCGACCACCGATGCAATCGGTTCTAAAATACAAAATACTGGTAATGTTAATCGGAGGGATGTATGATGAAACTCTCGCGACTGATAATAATCGTTAAAAAAAACGTTGATGTTCAAATATCACAACTTGATCGAAAAATTCAAAAAAAAAAAAAAAACATCGTACGTTTGTAACGAAGAGACAAAATGAGACAAAAGCAATAATAAACGTCTACGCTAGCGTCACAGATTTACATTAAAAAAAAAAAAAAAAAAAAAATGCAATTAAAGCTAAAGACTCGCGCACGTGAGACCGGATTGTTACTGTGATTATTATTCTTGAGGTCGTAAACTTGAAACCGAGATTACACAACAATTCGGGGACGGAGCTCCGAAAACCGGAAAACAAGTAGGTCATTCGAACCAAGATCACCTGGCGCGAGTTTAGTCACCGTATTGTATCGAGGAATACCGGGACCGGTATGATTACATGACGATTCTACGTATTATGAATGGCATATGCGATCGAGTGATTTCAAGCGCGAATAACGCGTCACCGCGCGCAACGTTACTCGACCTAAATATTAAAACCAGAGATAGAATGTTATCGGAGCTGGGTGGGCGACGACAACGGAAATGTCTTGACGTGTTTTTTCTTGTGTGTTTTACGATTATATACAAAAAAAAAAAAAAAAAAAGCGTAGAAAGAGAAAAGTCAAACGCCGCGCGCGACACCGGAAGAAGACGAAGAGGAGAGAAGAACGCTGATAAAAAAAACCGGTTTCAATCATCGAAACGGAATTCTAGCGTCACACAATCTGTGTTTTGTTATAAATTTGTTACACTTCACATTTTTTGTCGCATCGACGAGATTTTTTAGAAATAAATTCTGAAGAATGACTCGTGTGTGTGTGTGTGAATTTTTTTTCTTTTCGTCTCTTTTGTAAAGCCAAAAAATTCGGCGAGTCGAACGAACTTACTACTTTTACAGTTATAATTAGCGTATCTTTTTAAAACGACTGTGTCGATATGCAAAGCGCGTTTACGGTGACATTTCCGATTTAAACGCTTGTTGATCATGAAGTTCGACGTATCTAGCACACACATATAATACAAAACGTACTTCTATTTATTTATCTATTATACTTATATAAAAAAAAAAAAAAACATAATAACACGCAATGCGTAAAGTTCAATTAACCGTTCGAACATGGGAGCTATCTCTTTTGTTACTTTCGAAGCGCCCGTATGTGCGACATTCCGATAAAAGTACGCATGTAAGCTAGAAAGATCGAGCATTCAAAATATTAACATGATGCGCAAAAATCTTTCTGTGTAAGAACAGAATTTTATTTATTTCAACGTTATATTAGTTTCTATTTTGAGAAAACTCTTCATACACGCGTCTCACGCGTAAAAACATAACAAAAGACAAGTCGTGTGAAATAAATCTCGCTGTATATGCTCTATTACAAAAACTTTCACTAGACATAACAATTACAATTAAAATAACTTATGGTTATTATAAAAAATAATAATAATTGGATAATAAAATGTAATTTACGACAATATAAGACAATATTTTCCAGACATTGTATGTGAGAGATGCGGAGACGTCTATGGACGTTCCTCGCTCTTCTGGCATGCGTGTCGGGCGAGTATTTAATGGGCGGCTATCTGGACAACAACAATGCCAGATTGAAATCCCGACCGGATAAGATCGAGGAGGGCTCATCCGCGCTGGAACGTAGAACGCATCTGGACGACCTTGACCTGGATCTCGTGGCGGAGGAGAGCACTGTTGTCGCTGTCGCTGGCGCCACCGCTAAGACCTCTACCGACGACGAAGACTACGAGGACGCTCCGCGTTACCACATACCGTATCCTTTCGCCTTCAACGGCGGCAAGCCGTTCTCTTTGGAGAAAGATCCTATAACCGGTAAGATCGACTTCGAGAAAGCGCCGCCCGTCAAAGCCCTCAATTACACCGGTCGCTATCAGGAAGACAAGAAGAACGACGACAATGACGACGATTCCGAGAACAGCGACGAAGAGGAGGAGCAAGCGGAGCGAGAGAAAATCAAGAACAAGGACAACGTGGACGTCCGTCCGAACGAGATCAACACGTACACTCCAAATTTTCACGATTTCCTGAACCTGCCGGTTCAGTATTCCTCGGATAAATACAAGAACGACAACAAATACCCGTTGATCTCGAACTCGTACGCGAACACGAAGGTGCAGAGCGGCGCCAACAGCTACGTGTACAATCACAAGCCCTATCATCCGGAAAACGACGTGCGTCCCACCAGAAATCCGTACGTGTCGGTGACGAAAACGAGCACGTACAAGACAACGACCGCTCACGATTTCAAGGCGAAGTGGACAACCGCGAGACCGTCGACTACCTCGACCAGCACAACCAAGTTCTCCACCAAAGCTCCTGTTATAACTACGTGGAAACCGCCCAGCATTCCGACCGCGTTTCACTCGATCGATCGCCCGGAGATGGAAGACGAGAAGATTATTCTGCCTATAGAAAAACTGCACGCCTCCGAGTCTCATCGACGTCCCGGCAACGAGATCGCGACGCAATCTCCGACGAGGCAATCTCAGAACGAAGCGCCGGAGCCAAAGGAGCAAAATAACGCAACTCGTTACGTTAAGGATCAACCGATTCCCAACTTCGTGCTGTCCCACGCGGGACCCGAGACGAAACCGCTCGCGCAGGATGAAGAATACGGAGACGCTTATGACAATTACGAGTTGCCCGAAGGGGAAATCGAAGACGAAGAGGAGGGAAATCACGAGGAGAATAATTACTATTTACAATTCCAGGAGTTGTTCAAGGAGAACGTTACTTCCAGACCAACCACGTCGACGACTACTTCCAGACCAACGACGAAGACAACAACAACCGCCGCCACTACGACCACCACTGCTGCCACCACTACTAGGACGACAGTTACTGCAGGAACCACGACATCGGCTGCTCCTCCCTCTGTCACACCTTCAAGATCGACATCTTCTACGCCACCCGCGTATCAGAAGAACACGAGCAATCCGCTGCAGTTTCCGAAGGTATCGCAACATCCAACACTTCCTCTGTCCTTCAACAACGGGCAGAGCGTTACGGAACATCACGGCGGTATAATCAGCCACGGCTACAGACCTAACTGGATGATCAAGCCGAACGGATCTGGAACCGTGCTCGAAAGCACGAGTAACATAGTGATCCCGCCCGATCAAGATACCGTTTCCTTCATTTTGGGAAATCGACAGAACGTCGACGGTTACTATTCGGTCGGGACTGCCGTCGGGGAAAATCCTTACGGCAGTTTGTCCGACATCCAGACGTCGTGGCCGCAGCGTCACGAACAACAACAACCGCAACTTCCACCCAAGGACGTTAAACACGAGCTGGTTACCGAACCGAGTCCGCAGGATCGAGTAACGCAGAAATGGCGATCGCCCAGTTCAAGCGCTCTGAAAACCAGCAACGAGATCGATCCAATGAGAACTCAGGAACACGTCGCGCCTACGAACGCGGTGATTCACGATACGAAGGAGAACAAGGAGAAAGATACTGGTTACGTTGTTTTTCCGGTCGACGACGAGGTGAAGAATAAAAACCCATCGACGGAGGAACACATCGTGATCATAAACGAAGCGGACGGAAGCATTCGCGAGCTACCACCCAAGACGACAACGACGGCGACGACAACAGTGACGAACAACAAGACGTTAAGTTTTCCGACAACTGGCGGAGACTCGTTGCCGCAGCCCGCCGAAGACCTGATGCCACCTGCGGAAAGCTCCAAGCCACCGTCTTATTATTATCATTATCAGTTTGACAATTCGCCGAGACCAGATCATATGAGACCACCGTTGCCGCCGCGCGTCAAGGTCAGATATCCGGGATTACCTCCCGCTGTAGACGCGGGATTGAGAAAACGTCCGTACTCGCCTTCGGACGCGAAGTTGCCCAACATTCTGCCCCAGTTTCGTCCAAACGCGAAGGCGTCGCACGGTCATCGCGGACCAGACGGGATCGGAACGATGCCGGCCGGTCAGGGTTTACCTTCGAGAATCAGACAACCGCTGCCCTCGAGTCATCCGTCGTCGCGAAGACCGCTGCCACCGCCGCTCTCGTATCTTCAACGTTTGAATCCGCCACCGCCGCCGATTCACGCGATTCGAATGCCTCCTGTGCCAACGTCGAAGGTGGACAGCGTCGCTCCGCCTCACGAGACCGAACCGACGATACGAAGATTCCGTCCGCCTTATGGCGGATCGCCGATCTCCCGAGGAGGGAGTCACGGTACGGGCCAGGAAGAGCGCAACGCTGGCGGCGAAGACGAAGGCGATGACAGCAGAAAGGAAGAAGAGCGGATCGAGAGCAAAGATGAACGCGAGAATGACAGCTCGGAAAGATATCCCGAAGAACCGCCGATGACGCCGCCGAAACCGCCAATATTCTTGAAACGCAGAACGGCGGATCATCCGCGAGTCGCGACCCTGCAGATGATACAGCATCACGGCGAACTCGACGGCGAAAACGACGACGACAACGACGAGATCACCGAAACGGCGCAGCCGGCGGATCCTGCGTACGAAGCGGAGCGCAGGAGATCTGACAATCACGACTCAACGGAAATGGCCGAGCAACCGGTGTACGTTGTGTATCCGGTAACTACCGCGGTCAATATTTATCCGGATGACTCCAATGAGAAAGACGGCAGCGTTGTCGTGGGCACGCGAGGCTCTCAGCGACCGCTGCCGCCCGACACTCTGCTGCAGGACGAGCAGGAAAAAACGCAGTACAACGTCAGACCCATCACTTCGGATTTTCCGTATTCCCTGGAACGTCCCGATCCGTCGTCTGTCTTTCCCGTCCCAAGCGTGAAGGAAACGCCGCTTTTGGTGCCCAGCGATCAGAGGAAACAGATTGCCACCGCGAGCGAAACCGTGAAGAACGAACAGGACGCGATAAATGTGATTCCTTACCTTCAAGATTTTTTGCCGTTTCGGAAGAAGAACGACGCGGTGATATCCGCGACGCTGCATCGCGCCGCACCGTCCACGACATCGGCGCCGACCGCGCTAACGTCAACCGCGACGCCGATCGCTTACGTTTACACGCCGACGCATTCGGCTCATCATCTCGACGATGAAGAGGACGACGACGCGGACGTAGACGCTAAACAAACGGTGTTACTACCTTCTCAGCAACCGTCCAGCTCTTCCAGCTCAGCACCGGCACCGCAGAACTTCATGGCGCCTTTCGTTCCTAGTTTGAGCGCCGAGGCGCCCAGCAGAAACGGTTGGAGCGTCGTCGTTGTCGACCCGCCCGAGGGAGCGGAGAGAAAAAAGGACGGCGATAGCGATGAAGCGGCCAGCTCAGACGTCGAAACCCAGACCGAGAAGGAGTTCGATCCTGAGAATTTCAAGCCGCAGCTCTTCGGCGGCTTCAAACCGATTTACGAGTTTCCCTCGGGAGACACGGAGAGTCACGATGCCACCGGCGCGAACACGGAGCTGAACATGCCTAGGCGTTCCAAGAAGCTCTCGCCCGTTACCTGATAAAGGACAACTTTGTAATCAGATATCAAACGTTTTTCTTTCTTTCTCGGGTTTCTAGCTCTCAGACATTTCGCTCGCGCTCGTTACTACTCCTCTCGCGTACATGTTTCAAACGAAAGTAAAAGCGAATAATATATATGCAAGCGTGGTAAAGAGGATGAAAAGCGAAATGGATAGATCTTCGCAATAGGGCCAAACAACCGGAACGTTTTAAAAGACTGTCCCGTTTGATTTGCACACAATCTCAAATATTGCACGTGTTAATAAGAGATTAAATAATATAAAAAAGATATTTAAATATAATTTATTTATTTTGTAAGTTCTACTATTTAGCTTTCGTAGAAGGAGGAGGTAGTAGCGTCTGAAGTTAGCTCAATATTATTGGCGCGCGTTCGAAAAGCTGGAGAAAAATATTAACACAAACGTCTACGGGCCAATATACTTTTGAAATATCTCGCATATAAATTCTGCGCGTATACACATTTATAATTCTCATCTTAGTCTTTTTCTCCAAAAGGAAATAAGGAGAGAGAGAGAGAGAGATAGGAAAGATGAATTGAATTTTTGCATTTTTTGTTTGTGACGTTCTGTCGTTTTTCTTCATTATATATAAACGATATATAAATTTGTTTTTTTTTTTTTACATAAAATTGATATCGTACATATAAATGTGTATAAATATATAGATTAGAAATGTCTTAATTGCTACCAAACAGTCGAAGGTCGAGCTTCAGAACGACATCGCCGCTTTCGACTTCATGCAACTTAATCCTCTTCTGAATCGGTCCGCAAGTGTCCTTACTGTCTCTCATTATATCGGCCACTCTGACCTCAGCGCGACCAAGAAACTCTGCGTTAGAAATAACACATTCGAAGCCACCAATGTTAGAAGAAAAAACACAATTTAGCGAATTAACAAAAATTACAACAGCATTCGTGTGTGCACGTTATTCACAATTCAATACAATACAAAGAGAGAGATATATATATATATATATGTACGTATCGTACCATCGGGACTGTAGTATCCTTTATCGAACACGGTTATGCAAAGAGTGTCCTCGAGCAGATCCTTTACTTGGAATTGCATCGAAGCGTCCCACAAAGGACAATCGGTTCCAGACACAATACAGGTTCTTTCCTCTTGAGAGCCCATAGACACTTTGCAGAATGTATTGCACTTTCCTGGAAGGAGAACAAACGCATGTGTGTACGCGCGAGCATTTCCTTATCAGAACACACACACAAAAAAAAACTATGACGTATAAAACTATATAAGTATTCGTTTTTTTTTCTCTTCAAGCGTATTAATTGTGCTCAGCAACTCAGCATTCCGTCCCAGAGAGATGACGCACTTACTCGCTTCCACGAATTCTTAATAATTAGTCACAAACTTAAGTTTATATACACATATATATATATGTATAACTTTTTATATGTATTTCTTAGAAAATTGAGAAATATTTTGATAATCAATATATCTTTGCTAGATAATATCTCCTTTAAACTCAGAAAACTAGGCAGATTGAGCCTGACTTACGTGAGAGATGTTATTTATAAATATTAGTACTGCAAAACGATATATGGATGTGTAATCGAAATTAGATTTACGTTATAGCGACGAAAGCCATGCAAATAAAATTGATATTATGCATTCTGCAACTGATAGTGCATTCTGTTCACTACAAAAGCTCAATGAAAAGTCAGTCTACAACCTAGCATTAAAATATGAACGTAACTTGTGTTTGTACGATACTGTACCTTTCTTGGTATCGATTAGATCTTCAGCTTCCACAACTATTAGTCCTAGCCTACCTTGAGGACGTCTCCAGCGCACTATAATAATGGCAAATCTCTGTTAGTAATAAAGCGCCGCATGCATTGTATCATTTAAAATTGCTATCTGATATTGTCCGGTTTGGTTTCACGTTTTAAGTGTTTTTTTAATGTACACATGTCCCTCTCCAGTAGATCCGATCACCTTACACCGCACCATTGCAATACAATTTCTGTTTATCGTACAAGCACCAAGAAGATTAAAAAACCTTACATGCGCTAACTCCACACAGAAAAAAGCCAGAATATGAAGCTGCAATAACAAGCGATCTAACAATCCGACACGCGGATTCTTACCAGGTGGGACTTTCAAGTTGAAACCTTCGAGCACAGTGACGAGAATTCTTCCGCACGCCCCAAATTGCGCCTGTTCTGTTCGCCCACATAAACCGTAACTTATTAATGAATATTAAATTTTAAAAAAAGAAATACGCACACATTTATTATATAAAGAATTGAAGATTCTAAAAAAAACTCATGAGGATCTAAGTGTGGAAAATCAATACACGAAGATCTAAAGCAAACGTGTAAGCTCGATACGCCAATGTAACTAAAAGATAAAAGCTCTCTGCTTACAAATAATGTCAAGCGACGATAATTTGTAGCAGTACGAATATATAAACAACGTTTATTTGTTTGTTTGTTTTTTCTAACACTAGCGCGAGCAAACTCGTCGCAAGAAGTTGACTCACTCGATCGCTGTCTCTGCAGACAACTCTTCTCGTTTTCTAAAAACGTTCGTCGCGCTTCTGCGATTCGTTTCGACCACAAGGAGCATTCAGTCGGAGACGGTGCCGACAATATTATCGGCTTCTTCTGATCTCTCAGTCTTAATATTTTCGACGAATTGTCCGAAGTGTCATTTCCGCTCATACTACTGTTACCGTCGCTCTCGAGCAACGACAATTCGCTGAGAAATATCGGCTAAAAAAAAAAAGAGAAATCTTTTTTTTTGACAACGGCATCACAATCGCACGCGAGATTGTTTTATTCCCGTGTTAATTTTTTTTTTTTTGTCCAAAGTCCAGTTACATACCTTTCTGTACATCTTGAACTTTTGGTGTTCGTGACGATCGAACGAGAACTGTTGACAGTTGAGGGACTTCAACGGTTGAACAAACAGTAGGAAATCGTTCGTCAGAAAGCCGACGAGTTCTTTGCCACTTTTTGCCTGTTTCAATCAAAATTAAACGCGATATGATATCACGACGAGTGCGAAATCGAAGAGTTTTACAAGATGCGGGCATCGTTCGTTACCTTGTGAAGTATACCGTAATGCAAGAGCTTTCGCGGCCCCAAAGAATTTGTCAATGAATTGAAAATGAGTTGTTCCTCAAGACCGTCGCATATCACGTGAGTTTGCAACCATTCCAATCTGTCGCTATTTTCTTTCTCTCGAACTCCCTCATTTACCTATAAAAAATGTCAAATTTTCGTTTTATTCCCACGCGCGTTATTCGCACAATCGAAGGATCTTTAACACGCTTAGTTGTTTTTTGTTTTTACCTGAGTGCAAAACTCCTCGGACTTGGACAACGCTTCTTGCAAGTACTGTCTGTCGGGATGATCGTGTGGTGTATACTCTAAGATCTACAATCACTGAGTTACAAGTGTGACTCGACGTTTATAAGCTACAAATGTCACAGATACGTAAAACACAGGATACCTTGCTAATGATCAGCGGGTACTTTGTTATCCTCTGCATCGGTTTAATCAGGAACGAGCTCAGAGGCATTCCCTTGGTTCGCGGATCTTGCTGACACACTTGCGCAACTTGTACAAATTCCGGCGAAGTTTCCGTCAGACGCTGAAGATAGGTCGCAGCGGATATTTGGCTGCTGCAAAATCTTATGTAAGCCGACATCCTAGGAATCTGTGCGAAATGCATATAATCGTGTAAACAATCGAGGTAAACTGCAACGGAAGAAGAAAACTCTGTTTCTTTCGTCGTATCAAAAAGAAGACACTCACATTTTCGCACAGCACATCGCCAATCATCCTGACAACTCCGCCGCAGCTGTTGTCTCTTCTTATTCTTAAAGTCCTGCAAAAAGATCGTCGATGGTCTTCTTTAGGTGAATTTTTGATTTAAAAAAATTTATATATATATATACATATATATATATTACATATATATATATATATATACATATATATATAATTTTTCACATGTTAGAAGGAATTTACCTCAAAAAGTTGTCGTTACAGGCAATGATATCTCTCCAATTAATAAATATTTTTTCTACCTCATCAACACTCAAGACTAAACTTTCAATTAACGGTTTCTCAAACACCTGAAACGTGCAACAACACACACGTGAAACACGAAAGGGAAAGAGAACACGCCACGACACAATCCGAATTTATGTACACAAAATTTAGAAAAAAAAAGATACGTTAAAAAAAAAAAAAAGGAACAAAAGAAAAGAAAATACCTCATGGACTAGTCTCATGTCTTCTATATAGGCTTGTTCAGTCACAATTAGCTCTTTGATATGTTCCTGGCGTTTTTTTTCCTTGGGACTGAGACTCATCATTGTATCGATCATCGATTCACTTGCTACACATAAAATATATACAAAAAAATTTTTCCCTCCGCGAGAGTTAAATTTTTGAACTTGTATTATCTAGTATTTTGGGACTTGACTTTTCCACTCCGTAGTAAGAGAAAAAGCGTTCAATTTTTTATTTTTTATTTTTTATTTTTTATTTTTTAATAGCGTTTTAATGAAACTGTGCTGCTAAAAGCATGAGATTTCAGTCGAATCTTCTTTCAGATCAGATGTTTTCTCTGAAATGAAACAATTGACAATATTCTTTCACATCGCGAAAAGGAAGTTATTTCGAGACAAAAAAAAAAAAAAAGGAGAAAACATGCGCCGAAAACAAAATGTAAACGAGCTCGTTGCTGTTAATGAGCAATCGAGTGAACGAAGCATGAACACGATAGCAAGAGTAATTTTTACAACAGACAGATATTTTATTTCGATCAGCGGTGAGAATGCGAACGTATCCGTATATGAATATGAATACGTTTACATATGTATAAGAACATCGGCGTACATATATATCATATATGCATTGAAACACAATATAATATAATTCTTCTATATATATACATATATATATATATACATATATATATATGTATATAAAGTGTGAACAAGATTTTTCCATAATGGTCACACAGAATTGTTTTTTTTTTGTTTTTCATCACTCTCTCTCTCTTACAACATTCTTCACTACGCGCCAAAAAACGTTTTACGTTGTTTCGCACCCTATAATACGATACTTCCAATGAGATACTCGATATTTTATTTAAGAATAAACAAACAACTTGCAAATAGTAACAATCTTAGAAGTATAACGCCACTACATCGACTACGATGGACTAAGGATAACCAGTTTGCACAACTTGCTTTAGACAGTATTTCGATTAATACGTTATGCTGGAACTGGTGTCTGGAATACCTAATATTGTTTAAGCACACAAGATTATTGCCACTGTGACGTATCTCTTTTTTTTTCTCTCTCTCGTCTCTATCTGTCATGGAGGATTACATAGAATGCGTAAAAGTTGCATAGCAATGAGTAGATATGTTGTGCGCTTTGCGTTGTTTTTTTTTTTTTTTTTTTTTTTT